AATAAAATAAACCAACACCATTCGAATTTTGAAACTTAACTCTTTAAGCTTGACGTTATCTTTAGTCGACGCCAGGATTTATAGTATTTCATCTGACTTTTTTGTTAATTAAAAGACTTAATTATATCGGATTTATGCTTTAAATATTAAACATGTTTAAAGTTGAGTGCTTAATAAAAGTTAGAATTGGGTATATGACGATTTTCTGAAAACTAATTAATTAAAATAGTTGTTTGATACATTATAAACACACTGTCAATATATTACATGAGAATCTGTTCTATTTTCGATGAATATAATTGTTTAAATCTACAGATTCTAAGAAATAAACTTTTATTAGATTATTATCTAACATGATGATAATAGTACGAAACTTATTTTTATAGTGTCAAATACCCATAATGATAAAAATATTAATTATAAATTCGCGTTTTGGGTATTTTCCCTTATAGCTTAACACTTAGGTATGCACTTTCTTAATGTAGCTAATATTCGGGTGTTTCGTCCGTATTTTAAAACGTTCGAATAAGAATATAATAGATTCATTACGTACAGAAATGATAAAAAAATCAAGGAATGAATAATCATTAATCGTCTCCCGTTTAACTAATAATTTCATTTATTTTATTCTGGTAACACTAATGACAGCTGTTTGGTTCGGCTGCGATTTGGCTCCGATTACGTTTCAGTTTAGTAAACGTTCGTTTGATAATTTACGTTAGCGGAATGCAAATTTACAGCAAAAATCGAAACGTAACCGTTACAGAAACGCTATTGATGATCGATCGTTGTAAATTAGTAGAATTGGCCCCTGGTCTACATACCTGAGGTTATCAAAAATATTTCGAGCTCAATGGCACAGGTGATTGCGGATGTTAAGCAACTTTTTGGAACGGTCAGTCGTTAGATAGCCAAAACTTTACTATCTAGAGCTTCTCCAAATTTCGGTAAGCACGTTAAGTCGTCGGTTTTGTCTCATTCTCCTTTTGCAATCGTAATTGAAAAGATCTATGACCGCAGTAAAGGCTTTTAGGCGTTAGATGATTGTTTTATTTTTTCATTTATTAATTCAAGATAACAACAGCTATTCCAACATAAAACATTTATTATGTTATAATAAATCCGGCAAAAATGTTTGCCACAAAAAAAAACTGTAAACCTACGACCAAGAAGATTTTATGGTTCTTGCCTAAGACATAACAAAACTTACAAACCCAACTAATTATGTCATAATTTGCGTAAAGTTAAAAATCTGTATATAATATGTATTAATGCACAGATACAGTTTGAATCAATGATGTTGAATTTCATAGTATTATAAAAGTTGGTCTATATCTATTATATTATTTCTCACCAAACTAATGAAATGAAATGAAAATATCTTTATTCAAGTAGGCTATTACAAGCACTTTTGAATCGTCCAAAAAAAATTTTTTTCCCCTACCACTTGTTTAGGACGTCTTTTAGCTGACGAGAAAGAACAAGCGAAAGAAACTTACCAGCTTTTTATCATAAATAATGACATTTACATAAATCATGTCATTACCAAAATAATATGTATTATCACAATAATAAATATAACTTTCAAAGTCTGTAGGACATAGGTTGAACATATAATTAGTCTTTATACAATAGAACAAAGCGAAAGCTATTAATTCCATGCATTGCGATCCTTAAAATAATCTTCAACTTTATAATAGCCTTTACTCATAAGTATATTCTTAACATGAATTTTAAATTTATTTATGGGTAGGTCAATTACATTTATTGAACATAGCAATACATTTACCCAGAAATGATCCTCTGGTTTTTTGAAGTCTGAAGCTTGGAACGGCAAGTTTATTTTTATTTCTTGTCAATCTGCAACATCTTACTAAGAAGTAGAAATAAAATAAAACAGGAGGATGATAAAATTATTAGGTAGGTATAATACTATTTCGACAGGGAAGTTTCTGATAAAAATCTAGCTATAGGATACGACATCTTAACGATGTTTTTACGCTATTTCGTTTCATTTTACTACTTGAATGATAAAAAATTATGAATTTAGATTAGAGAGCAGTGTTTCCCACTTACTCGTTTATCAGAAGGCATGTTTAATTAGTTAAATAAAACGAATCCTATGGCTAGAGAGTAAGACGTTCGCACCCCTGAACTAAATAAGTGTATCTTAACGCCACATCTCTTATGGGGTTGTCTGCCAGCCTGGCAGAACCGAGTGCCACAAAATAAGCATTTGAATGGAAAATTTTACTAGGAGCCTAGAATTGCAGGAAGAATAACTGTGATAGGGTTCTTCTAGTCACAAATTCACAAACGCTTACAATAAATAGAACAAATTTATAAACTTTTTTGTCGATTATAAATCTAAGATACATCCGTCTTATAATTTAGTTGTACCCAAAAACTTTTACATTTTCTAAACTTCTTGATCGTAGGAAGTGGTAGGTACTTTTGCTTGTCGGTTTCCCACAGAAAAATGTACCTCTCCAGACCCTGCTTAATACAATAAGCAAAATTAATGCTGCCTATATCTTCAGTGCCCTTTCATCGACCCGTGCTAATGGACTTAGTATTTATTGCTACACACAAAAGAGCCGCATTGTATGGTTTCAAGAATATAATAACACTATCCACTATCCGAAGGTTTCTCAAAGTGGGGTACGTGTACCCCTAGGGGTTCTCAATTCGACGGCAGTGGGTTTGCGAGAAGAATTAGGTGGCTTGATCACTTGTCGATGAAAGTTAAAATTGTCTAATTTTACTCCCAGACTTAAATCAATCTGCAACATCTTACAGTACCTATCACATTATTAAAAAGATATGGGTCTACGGGAAAAAAGTTTGTGGCTTTGATACACTCATAATTTTTGTAATTTAAAAATAATTAATCTTTACTGCTACGATTTTTTAACTTAAAATCTTTATATAATCTGTATATATACAAAATTGCAAAAAAATATCAATCAGATTTCATTAATTTTGAAAAAAAACTATGAAGGATATATCAAATTGTAAGTTCATGGATGTACCATGTTCTTTTGGCACCGTATTTGTTACCTTATTTTCTTCAACAACCAATTTTATTATTTTCTTTGATTTGATTAGTTAGACTTTGGTATCTTCAAAGGGGGTTCATAGAGCCAAAGTTTGATAAACCTTGCATTATGGGATCAGCAGCCACTCGCTATTATAGAAAAAAAAGTTATCTGTTTACATACGCGCCTTCATGTTTGGTGAAAGCTACTTAATTGAGATATAAGAATGAGTTTATCTTTTTCTGTTATTTCTTGTTTAAATAACACCAATAAAATTAATTACCTAATTATATGTATATTTAATATTACTTAGGTTGTTTGGGAAAGAAAGGCTACCCGTCCCTTTTTTCCCTAGGGATACAACGATTATGACATATCAGAAAACTATATATATAAATATCGCGAAATCGAAGAAACAGCGATATCGACATATCGATATCGAAAATCCTAAGTGTAAATGTATATTAATTGTATAAAGTTTTAACATTCAACGGCATTTTCATATGTGTTAAGACATTAGTAATACGTGTAACATTATTGTAACCCTGATTTTTTGCTTTGAAATTTGTAGTAGTTTTATTATTATAAGTTGCACTTAATTTCAAAACAAGGTCTTATTCTCAATCTAATCGCAATCTATTTGAAGTGACTGAATAAGATATTTTCCGATTGTAACCAGAAGTTTGCCTTCTGAACGCCTTTTCTTAAAAACAGCACGCAAATAATGACATAGTCGAGAAATGCTTTGTCTGCCCCAAACGTCACGTTTCTCAGGTCAAGCGTGAGATATCGTTTAAACGCACCGGGGTAAGGGGATATTTGGGTGTAAACAAAACGCTTTCGAGTTTGTCATGCTACGCGTGCTGGATTCAACATTACACAAACTAGGAATAGGCTTAGTAGCCAGGCAGTAGCAGGCCGTTTTTTATAATATAGGTATATTTATGTTTAAACGTATTTTATTTAAATAAGGTTTTTACAAAAAAGATTTTTGAATATTCTCAATGAAAATTGCTTAAAAGATCCACCGGTCCCAGGTACTCTGCTAGAACTCACGATCTTTCACAATCCATGCGTCTACTCTGACCATTGAGATACTCTGGTGGATTTTTAGACACTTTTCATTAAGAATGTTTTTCAGTTTAGATTGTGAAAGCAAATCGATCAGCTATCATTTTTTTTTAAATTTGCTTAATTCCCAGAAAATAAAATATATAATTATCGATCTATCGGCTTTGTGAAGCGATTATCGAACTCAGTATTTCAATATTTTTAGTTTTTATCTCTTTTCTTCCCCAGTGACTGTCCCTTTCTTCTCGTCTTATTACAGTTAGCGTGATTCTATGGCGCGATATAAATGATACATAATGCCATCTAGTAATGGGTAGCCGAAACATCATGCCACCGTGCTCCTTTACATTATATATAAATAAAATTGGGGATTATTTCTTAATAATTTTATAATTTATTTCTTGCATTTTGGGCTATCAATACTTTCTATTATCAAATGACGTTAAATTTACACAAGGTTTTAGCACATTAACAATTTGCGGGACTTATAACAACAGGTTGTAAAATTTTATGGGACTGTGTCTTACAAAAATTAAGCGGTTTGATGAAGGAGAAAAAAACTAACCAAACGAACGAGTGCTCTGTCTGTACAAAAAATGATATTCAAATTATTTTTTTCTTCTAGATTACAAAAGCTTCTTAGGATAGATTACAGGATTAATCTTATAAAGAATTTTTTATAGTATGTTTTTCGACATACATTTTCCGAAAGACAGAGAAATGCAAATGTCAAATTACGTCAAACGGAACGTAAGTGAGTCTTTAGTTGTTCCGTAATTTGATAGATGGCGTTACACAATTAATACTGCTTTATCATAAAATATAAACCATAGCCAATGAAATTGCGAAATGTGTCCTACTTTCATGACGTCATTATTTCCACGTTGGAAGTTGTACCGAGATGTCATGTTTGTAAAGTAATATTTATAAAAATTAAACAATAAGATGTACTAAAGAAAAAATAAATCCCGTGTTAACTTCACAGTGAAAACAAAAAAAGTGTTAAAATACATTTATCGTCAACAATGAAATCGATGTGGGATTTAGCCGTAAAGAATGACTCTTGCTAACGCTACCGAGGATATGAATAGGATCCTAGAATATCTTACAAGAAATGATCACGAATTAGAAGAAGTAAACACAAAAATGGACAACTTCCAACAAGACGGACTAATGGTTTGTATATATATTCTAAATACGCCGTCTGCACTAATACTGATAAGTTATCGCGTTGACTGAGGCTATCAGGTAAATTTTGGCCTGGTTTGTACCAAACAAGCGATTTGGCAGACGCATTGTGAAGTAATAAGTGATCGCCGCTACTAATGGACCTGGTTCAACAAGCTTTCGTACTTACGCTCCTACTTTTACCGTTATACGTTCATTTCGTTTCGTGATCGGTCGCGGTTCACTCGCCGACGCCTCTCACTTATTCTCCTATTTAGTAATTTTCCTAGTTCACCGCTATACTATTCCAACTGTTCAGTTTCTGGACAGGGTTTCGCCCTAGTAAGTGTCCTTGTGTAACGTGAGTAATACGACTCCCGCGAGTCATCAACTACAGTTATTTGCTGCGTAAACAATCGCGGTACATTGCCAGCTAGGCACCATGCGGTCGCTATCATTAACATATGCCGCCTGAATAGTAGTGATAGTGATCAGTACTTCCATCAATCCTCATCAGTGATTGAAGAAGACAATTTTGGATTGCAGTTATTATTGCTAGAAAGTGAATTTTGAAAAGTGTTTATCCAGTGTCTTTCACTTAGTGCAATTTCAATGAAAACTTGAAATATTCAAAATGGATAAAAGACTAGATCTATTGTCTTTGTTAGAGGTAATAATTATACTTTTAGTAATATACGATTTAATAAATTTTCTTTTTATTTGCTTGCTCTTGTGCAGGATCAGACTCTTCAAATTCATCATAAGAATATTACATTCATTCAATTATTGAGACAAGAAAATACACATAAACAAAATACAATATACTGAAAGCACTCTTTTCTAAGCTACTAGACATACATTGTGCAACAAACATGTATTATTTATATCAAGAAAAAAAATAGTCAAAAGTGATAACGATAACAACTGATAAAAACTTTAAGAATAAATTTTGTTTATTCTATCACACTTTTTAATTGCTATGTTCGAATACTAAGTAATTCAGTATTAAGTACTTTCTCTTTTGATATAAAAAAGAAAGTTAAGATTAAGAAACAGATACTGAAGAAATTCCTGTAATAGTTTTAAAAATTAAAGACACAAAAAAAATGTTTTGTTCAATGTTTCTCCAACTTTAGTAAAAAGAGTTAAGGTTTATTTAATTTTATTAATTGAATACTGAGAAGTTTGATTCTAAATTTTACAATAAATCTAGACATGTATCTAAAATTAATAAGTATGTTATTTATGGTCCATATGTAAAACTTGTTTTTTTGTTTTACATATAAAAAATACCTTACAATCAGTTCCTTCAGTAGAAAAAAAATCACAATAAATGAATATAATTATTTCAATTCAAACATTCTTTTAAAAAATTGAAGTTCTATAAAACATTTTTAATTACATCAAAAGATACTTAGAGCTTACTGTATTCTTAATCATCATTATAAGTCATAATTAGCTGTATATGAGAAAGCAAGAGTACATATTGGGAACTCTTTCAGACGGACAACTGGCCTGCCTCTGATGATTTCCTGGAAAATATTTTTTCCCTGGAGCAAGGCTCATTGAATTTCCTTGAAGAATCAATGCCAGACTTCTCTCTGGGTCCAGAGCCAGACAATGTATCACAACCATCCGAGGCGTTAAGCAGTTCATGCTCTGATAGTGGACTTTCTAGTGACCAAGCAGAATTGTAAGTTAATTTGAAGTTTATTAGGTTTTAATTTATGATAATGGTTATATTTAATTTTAAGTATATAGAATGAAATTGAACACACAATTTTAAAACTTAAAACTGGTAAAAAACACCATATTATTCTTAGCTCTGTATGTTAAACACCTAGATATTAAAATGTTTTATCATGACACTATACTCTAACAAAAAAACTTCTTCTTTTATTAATGTTTTATCTGCGCATTTCGCACAATTCTGCCAAAGTCAAGTGAATAAATTAATTAAATAATAATAAAAAATGTGGTAAATGGCGATCAAAAATTCCTTTAAATAATCCATGACTTTTTGTTTTACAAATTAATTATCCTTTGCTTTTTGACAACAATTGTCACAAATAGGGGTTGTATGCTGTCACCATATTTTCTCATAGCATACCTATTTCATAGCCTGCCCTTGTTTTAACTTGTAGGTACATTCTGTGGTGGTTGTTGTACAAAAGTTGTGTGTTCTTCCATTTCCACCAATGAACTTCCCATATTTGATATATTTCAATGATACATCACCTATACATCCTCTCAATTGAAAGCATAATCTTGGGTCTTCCTCTTCCTCGAAATATAGAGGAATTTCAGGAATATTATTGGAATCTGCTTCTTGCTCAGTACCGCTATCATGGTTACTGTGCTCCTCATGATCCTCTGTTTCTGATACAATATTATTGTCTCTATTTTCTTGTTACAAAAATTATTTTATTGTACTATTTCTAAGTGGGAAATTCATGTTGTTGAAGGACAAAACTAAATATATATATATTTAAAACTTGTTACACAAACGGTTGCTACCAGGTAATTTTCACCCATATTTAAATCACATTTCTCCTACTTCTAAAGTCTTGGCACCAACTATCAACCGCAGCAGTGTGTCTCTCATTTCTATGCAGAAAGGTCCCTAAAGCAGCAAATCTCAAAATTATGTAGAAATTAAAATGTATATTCTTATTGAAAAATGTTTAAAAATTTCTTTGTCCCTGTGATGGGATTCGAACCCACGACCTTTCGCAATCCGGGCGAATCTAGCCACTAAGCTACCCAGTACCTAACAGGGCTGATTAATTTTTTAAGCACTTGTTACTTTTTCGCTACTACAGAGCGTATTTTCAAGAGGCAATCAAGAAAAAAAATTTTGCTTACAATTTTTTAAAGCATTTTCATTATTAATACTTTCCAGTATAGCATTGTGAATACAAAACTGATCAATCATAATATAGATATATATGTTCTTATTACCTATGTGGTATTTTTATCCCGGATTAGCGACGAACGCCGGTTTAAATTAATATACTATTATATTAATTTAGAAATAAATTAAAGTCAGTTTTAATTTCATAAACATCATATCTAACACTACACTGTGAGTGAGCTATTAACCATTAGTGTTCAAACTCTTTTGATTAGGTAGTGAGTCCAGGAAATACCTGTTTAGTATTCGAATGCGTTACACTTAACATGTAGCTATAAATATTTAGGTGTCAAACTTGACTCATAATGTGAAATCACGTAAAGGCCTCAAAGAGGTCAAAGACTCCATTATTTATTTTACAACATTCTTATACAACTTATGTACTTTATGTCAATGAACTTCAATAATTTGATTACTAATATTACTACTGTATAAGTGCGTATAGATAACAAGTGTTTCCCATTACAATGGAATGGAACTTGTACTGAATCTTTTGATTTCTTGTAAACAATTTTTTGATAAAAATGGAGTTAAAGTTAAAAGATAGAAAATATTTATAATTTTAATAAACGAGTCAGTGAATTTTGGTGCCATGGAAGCAACCTGATGCATCAATCTTATGTGTTCCGATTATATACTTATTTGCAATATACAGATACATTACATGCCAAACACGTGTTACGTTACCTATGGGTTGTGACAGGTTCGATGCTTGGGCTAATAATAAAAGGCTGACTAGCTTGAGAATGGATTTATTTTGTGGTATAAATGGTAAAGAAAAGAAACTGTAACAAACAAAAAATTAATATAAAAACAGTCCGTATGTTAAACTAAATATAAAATTTAAAATTACCAAATAAAACGAATACTTATCCCTTTTTGGGTTTCTTAATAAAAACTTGGATCCTCCAAGTTTCAGGATATACTTAATTTTATTTGATTTATAATTTTATTTTAATAACATATCTTCATAAATAAAATTTTTATATTTAAATTTATACGATTTACAATATATGTGATTTACATGTTTACAACAGATGATTTTTTTACGAACTGACATCCATAAAGAGTATATTTGATTAGTCAAAATTTCAAATTACGAAGGTGAATAATAAAAAGAAATGATATTGAATATCAAAGACAAAAAGTTTGCATACTGAAACCTAGGACGAAATAAACGGTGGTACGGCACACCGTTACAGGGTTATTGTGCCTATAGACCTCCAAAAACAAAAACAGGCTTAGTTAGTCTCGAACCAAACTCCTCAAAAAATGATTCAAGTAGAAAATAACACTGTGTTACACTCAACTGTTCGATGTTGCTTCCTGTTTTAAATTGTATGGCTTCAAGTCGTATATGTACTTTCTTTACCTCAATTAAACGACTACAGCTTAACTAAGAAACATTGTCTGCACAGCAAACAAACGTTAGTGCGAGAGGCGTATGTATCAATTATACAGGACTCTGGCTACATGGATCCTGACGCTGATATGCGTGTGCAGATTTTTTATGATTTCAATAATGAAATATAACATTATGTTTGATATTTTTTTGCATTCACAATGCCATATTGATGTTTATTATAAAGGAAAATGCTTTAAAAATTCGCCATCAGCTAAAAGCTTTCAGCCGATATGGACATGATCGGCATGCACACTACTCTAATAGAGTTGGGACGTCATATTTGCATGGTTTATAATGGTTGATTGCTCACCTGGAACTACAATGTACTCTAGGCTATGGCGACATATATTTTGGAAAATATTTCCTTTGCATGAATGTGCTATTTTGAGTTTATACTATGACTGGTTTATTTTCGGGTAGCTTCGACCCCAACCTTTTTCGAGGCCCGGCTCCGGCTGTGGCATGGCGAATTTCAACGAATCGTTTTTCAAAAATAAATAATTAAGATACATGATTCGTTTAAAACACTACGCCACTGCTTGATGTTATAGTATAGAAATGTGATGAAATCGTATATAATTATAAATGTGAAATTATTTTTAAAGATGTTGCAATTATGATACAAAAGAACAACTATCACCGGTCCACGTCAACATAGAATGTCAGTAGGATACGGACCATGTCGTGACTCAGGGCGCAACCGACAATGATGCAACACCCTAGCATCTTAAGTAACTTAACTGGTGGGCATTGGGTAGCTGTTCATGGTTAATTCACATTGGCAACACCGTAACGTGTAGAGAACACAGTTACATATTCGATATTCATTACTGAGTAGTTTAGTACTTAATTTATTTGTTTATACGATGACGTGATCTAGTAGCTCGCATTCTAGTGTTATGTTTCTGCCATCTTTGAAAACTGACTTTTCAATAATTGTATCGATTGAATATAAGTGGTTATTGTCTCACTTTTATTTTGCATGTGCTTCAGACACTTTCTAGATTAGGATCTGAATAATATTCATTGATTCAGCGAAAGTAACAAGGACTCGCAAAATACATTCGTTTCTTAATGACGATATTTTAACAGTACTAAATTGTCCAACATTTTTTATTGCAACACTATCATAAAAATCGCATCACGATTTAGTTTCCATGCATTTACTTACTCAACTTTCGATATACAATATCTCTCAAAGAGCCCGATTACCAAAAACAAGTCTGTTAAAACGTGTTGCACTCTTAAAACTATATCACTTTCTCCGTAACTTTCATCTATTAATTTTTGTATCACGTGTTATACAATGAATGGTACATTGTACTAATTACCTATTAAAACATTTTCTCGAAGTGGTTATATTACGTGTAAAATAGTTAACCTTTATTAAATTTATTTAGTAACCAAAAAAGAGACGTTCAGTCATTTGGAAGGCAATCGTACAAAAATTAGGAACTAGCCCTTTTTCTTCAAACAAGTCAAAATCGAGCAACAATTTAAAGAATATGTGTCTAGTGTATAATTCTTAATTCCTTTTGTTAACTAGAGATCTGACCCATCTATACATGTAGTATAAGACAACGTCGCTTCCTGTTGTCTGTACGGTGAGATATTTTAAAGTACACATTGTATTTTAATGCGGTTTTCACCAATATAACAGGACCCACGCGGGTGAAGCCGCTGGTGGGAAGCTAGTTTTATAAAAATTGTTATTTCGATCGTATTCGTATATACCCACCATAATATAATTATCATTATTACCTATATATATTCAATATTGCTGGTGCGGGTTATATACTTTATTGGCTCTACAATAAAATGGAGCATTTTAATATGGTAATTGCTTATTGATTTAGAAATATTTACTGGCTATAAATTGCGAACCAATTAACTGTTTCCGATGACCGGATTTTACTGGTCGCAGAAATACAAATAACTTGAAATTGAGGGAGAGCTAAGGCAAATATTAAATATCAGTCTTTCTCGCGGTTTCGAAAGTAAAAGAAAGGGAGATGGATATTTCATAGTTTCTAACCATATATGTGACATTGAGAAGCAACAGATCATGTTGGTATAGACATTTGATGACAAGATGTAATTTGCATGTAACAAAAAAGGTTATGAGCATGAATGTGGAAAGAAATCTAAGGAGAAGGAAACCGAAGAAAAGGATAGACTGTATGAAAGATGATATCCGTAAGAAATTAGTGAAGTTTGAGATGACTGTTCGAGCCGTATGTATTTTTTATTATTTATTGCTCTAAGGGGCTATGCAGTTCCCTGAGGAACTGTAGTCACTGCGACCTTGAAGATCTATCGTGACTCGGAACTGTATGTAAGAACAATTCATATTGCGCCGACTCCAAATAAATATTTGTGAAAAGGTCAAATAAGTTCTGACTCACCGCGACCAACAAAACTTGTAGCGTCCACTGTTTGATATGCACCGACCATAAAGTCAGGGGAAACAGATACTAGATAATACATAATGACCCCTAAAATGGAGGCAATGGCATTAGCTATTTGGAGTACTATAATTACGTCATCGATCATTGATGTTTATTGCCGTCTCTTATCATAAACTTGGATAGAGATTGCTATAAACGTATATTACTGTTTAATATTGAGTTACTATGTCAGATTTATACATATCAGATCTTTAATTTCTTTATTTTTATCTATACTAATATTAAGACTCCATTAAGTTCGCTGATCAGCTAAATCGAAATATATATAACTCAAAGGTGACCGACTGACATAGTGATCTATCAACGCACAGACTAAACCATTGGACGGATTGGGCTAAAATTTGACATGCAGGTAGATGTTATGACGTAGGCATCCGCTAAGAAAGGATTTCGATCAATTCTTTCCCCAAGGGGATAGAATAGGGGATGAAAGTTTGTATGAAACTTTGTCAATTTTAAACCGATCGGGCTGAAATTTTGCATGCTTAAAGCTACTATGACGTTGGCATCCCCTAAGAATTTTGATAAAAACCATCCCTAAGGGGATAAAATAGGGGATGAAACTTTATTTCAGGTATTTTACACGATATAATAGTAACTTTACTAAAGCTAGTTCTATTATAAAGCTTTCCTGTACTGTGTCGATATGAATGCGATATTCTCAAAAACTAACTAACAAAGGATAAGACAAATTATATAATACAATATAATTTTACTAATTCTTTAAGATTTTATGTATAATGTCCGAAGTGCCACGATGATTGTTGATGTCGGAAAAAATGTGATTGTTTTAGTAGTAAAATAAAACAAAAAAAAGAACATTACACCGTTGTGTTTTATGGCAGTAATGATAACAGAAGTTACATAATGTTTTGATTGTATTTTTATAGTAAAACTAGCTTTCCGCCACCCGCTTCGCCAGCGTGGTCTTGTATTATACATAAAAAACTTCCTTTTGAATCACCCCATCTATGAAAAAAAAAACCGCATCAAAATCCGTTGCGTAGTTTAAAGATTTAAGCATACATAGGAATATAGGGACAGAGAAAGCGACTTTTGTTTTATTCTATGTAGTGATAATGCTATGAGAACGTGACAGTATCATCGTTAAATTGTGCGATTGAAGTTAAACTTCTTTCTATAAGAAAAAAATATAAATGTAATATCCTTCATTGGTGTCAGTAAACTTACACGGAAGGTACTAAAGAATCTTCCGTGTTACCTTCGTTGTCGGAATTTCGTCGACATTATCGTTGCAGGCGTCGCACTGAATGTTTTTTACCTCGTGACTCGAAAAACTGATGAATTAAGTACACAGATATTAGAAAGGTACTTTATATCACAGTCAATACTAGATTAAAATTCATAAACCCACGTAAATGAAAGAGCGGACAGGCACTAATGTATATCTATTAAATCAATATTTTAGTGGTTGTTCATATTTTCATAAATAAATATCAAATCAACTTTCAAGCACCAAATAATCTTTTCGATTTTTTGGATACGTCCCTATCGTTTAAAAAGGCAATTGTTCAATATTCCGAGTACCTATATCTATCTTAAGAGTTTCATTATCATTACATGTTTTAAAACCTCTTTGGTTATATATGAAACTTTGTTTTTTTTTAAAATGTCAACTAGTGTTTTGTTTTTTTCTCTTGTATGTAAAAAATATGGCGAATAAAAACAGTAATACAATAAATAGGCAGTGGTTTTAATTTAATGTAGTGAACAGCAATGGACCCACAGACAACATTGTAGCAGCGTTTAGTTTGTTTAGAATAAAATAGATTTATTACATTTAAAAAGGTTAATTGATCAAAGGTCTATCTATGCTAATGTCATTATGACTTCGGAAATCCAATCATGGAAATTCTATTATTATGGGAATCTACATCCCACGCGGACTAAATAGGCGATTTAAGCGGGCGAAGTCGCGGGCAATAACTAGTGAATTATAAATGTGAAATATAAACCTGTGTATCATTGATCTCTTGATAATTTCTCCGTGGCACAGTTCATTGTCGTTTAGTACCCTTTCAATCACCTTGGTGATATCATTCTACGTTTTACAGCTCACTCTGTTGTTATCCTTTCCATACTACGTAATATGTTTTTTATCTGTTGTATATTTCTGGCCAGACTATCTAGCTACTAGTAGTAGTAATTGTATTACTTCTTGGGTTAATATGTTTCGATAGTCGATGCTCGCTATCGAATGCGTTAATGTTTATGAAAATTTATTATTTGGTAATCGCAAGGGGCGCTGTGCTTGTTTCTACTAACATTATGATGGTTGCATATTGATAGTTATGCGAGCCTTTAACATTGATTGATATTGAATATAAATTATAAATCCATGAATAATTAAGATGATTTAAAAAAAAATATTGTTTATACTGTTTCGTAGATAGATACTCTTGTAATTAATATTCAAAGAAAACAGGTTATTATAATACACTTTAAAATATTATACGATGTAACTAAATGAATCTTGAATCTAGAATATCAAAAACGGATCTAGATGGATTTCCTTTGAAGACAGTTCGCCAGGCTTCAAACAGCCATAGCATGTCGTAATTTGATTTAAAGGATATATATACGCATAGCAACATGTACAAATTAAAGTACAAACTCGATCAATCTGTTTCAACCCAACATTCCTATAATTAAGATCGAAATACTTCAATAAACACTTTATCCTGTGCAGCATGTTTTGAACAGGAAAATGATCCCAACATCATTGTCCTAAATAAGATGTCGTCTTATCGTCCAATTTCCTGCCAATTCGGTGGAAACAGATGATGTGGAAATAGATAAATTTGTCTGTTTAGCAAATTCAATCGTGTGTTTAGTGAATTAGAATGATCTGAACTTTTATACACTATCTCTTTTTTAAATTTTTGAATGGTCACGCAACATAATAAAAAAATTGTATTTAACCTAAAATTAAATACAATTTTAAGGAGACATAAAGTTGGTTTCTGAAAGGTTACGTGTTTATTCTCACCTCATACACCTGAAAATGACGATTTTAAAGTATTCGTCGATTAGACAACCTCCTCGTATATCACCGCGCTAATCAGAGCAATTGTACTTACAACTTAGTTTTTTCCGATCGGGTCAACATGTAAACTTTAATTTTATACTTATTATGTACTTGTTTTCGTTTCTGCAACGTTACGATAAGGAAATGTATTTCCACGGCGCTTAAAATTTATCACAAAACATATCGTCATACCGTATTTATTTCACTGATAAGGTTTCTTTGAAAGGAGATACTGTTTTTAGTTCACTAAGAATATACGTATTCTTATTATACTTAGTTTAATGTCTTTAGTGTGAAAACTAGAATAGGGAAATTACCCAAAACTTAACATTATTCAACAATTATTTTAATTTATTATACGTTTTGACGTTGAGAAACTTATAGATTAATGCAGACTTCGCATCAGGATCGTTCCACGAGTTCGGAACTCTTATAGTATGATCAACAGGGTTGCAAACCAGTGTTCAAAAGAGATAACCTTGCTGATCGCCAAACAGTCTAGATGGCAGTTGTAAACCAAATTTCGAACACATTCTTTTTTTTTACGTCATAGAAATGCGTTTGGTCAAACAAAATCCTCGGTTCGTGGAAACCAAGTTCTCAACAAGGTCACATTTATTGGAATGCTGGTTTACAACCGTGACGTACGAAACATGAACAGATTAAAATATATTTTGAAATTTCGGAGCAAATTAGCTATGATAAGGATGTTCTATGTATAACAAACTAAAATATTTTAAATAGAGCTTAGAGAGGTTGGCAGCACTGATTTTTTTTTTTCATTCGTAGCGACTTCGAGCAACAACTATCGCCGTTCCTAATTCAAAACTCATGCGACGAAGAGGTCGGTTCCATCGCTGGTCTAGAGCCCACCAGCCCAGGTGACGCGCAAGATGTCATCATCCAAGATACCGACTCATCTAACAGCTCCAGTGGTGAACTCATGGAGGCCAGCTTCGATGTACTCGACTTCGAACAAAATGTCGTGCCCGGATTCATTAACTCTAATACATTCCAAAGTCCAGGTAAATATTGTTTGCTAACTGATATCATATTGTGTTCATTTCAACTGTTTGGTGTTTGTGTTAAGATTGATTTTCATAATATACAATACGGGTGTAGACAATTTTTTTTAAATATTTTTATTTCATCATTAATATAATCTAAAAATAAATTCAATATTACAAATATAATTATCATAAAAGTGCGATTAAAAACACTACCAGAAAAAAAAATTTTTTTTTAACCAAATCGAAGAATATTCCGAAATATCGTACAATACGGGTGTAGACAGTAAACGAAAATAAATAATAAATAATCTCGGATTATTCTTCGATGTGATTAGCTATCTTGTAATACAACTTTTTGATATGATATTGATGAAAAGATGCCAAAATAAATTACCTCATAAAAACCATAGGTAATAAACGAATAGTCTGGTATATTCTAAATTACAAATGCGCTTGACCAGAAGCGGATCTCCAAGAGAAAATTTCATTTCATTTATGTTCTAAGTTCATAATTATCATAATTACGGTAAATTACTGTGATGTATTTCACTTTATCATTCACGATGATAAACCTGCTATACGACTATGTACGTTCAACTGTCTTGCGTAATATGAGCCATTTCTAAGATAAAATTTGTTATGAATACGCAGTACAATATTCAATAGATAAATTTCATTAAAATGTGTATATAGCACTTAAAAATAATTCTGAAAACTCTTCAAGTTTCAAAGTGTTGCTATGTAATTATTTGCTTTGCTTGTTCTCAAGTTGGCCATTGTTGTTAAATTCTTATAACAATTGAGTAAATAATTAAATGGCAATGGAATTTTCTACTGAAATTATGAAATGAGGATAATTTACTATTGTTCTTGATTAAAAACCATTTTAAACGTAAATTGAAGGTTTTTTATCATCAATTCACATATAAGAAACCGATGATTTTGTATACGTATACAAAAGACATAGGAGCGATATTTTACCCCTTATCAAAGTTTGCGAATGTCGACTTTATTGTATGTACCATAGTGACGAGAATATATTAATAACAATCGAAGGAGACCCAAAAATACTATTGAATAGAAATCGGACGTTTTATTACTCGTTACTCTGCAACTTCTAAACTACTCGTATTCGGCCGAACAACTCTGATCAAATGTAGAGGACTCGGTCAATTGGACATAACTAAGTGAAGTGAACATATACACAAGCACTTAAACTTAAGCTACGGAACCGCTTAGTCAGATATTCGGTTTCGGTTACCAAGTAGAATGTGGTAGTGCCAAAAATATTGTCGCTATTGATTTGAATTGAATGGTTAATGCTTTAGGATAATTGGGACGATGACTAATTTTTGTTTGTTTTTCCGTCAGGTAGAGTGTTAAAAAATATTAAACAAGTATTTTTTTAATTTTTTCGTAATCATAAAATTACGGCGTTACATTGAGTTGAAATTTCGCATGACGTCACGTTAGAGTACGTTTTCTACTCAACTGTGACGTATCGAGCCCCCACTCCTCAACTTTAATGCCTGTTATCTAAGCTATTTCTTGTTAAATTGAAGTAAAAAAAAAATACGCATCTAATATTTTTCTATTATCTGACTGACGGACTAAATAGAATTGCATTTTTTTTACCCAGTCATCATCCCTATTATAAAAAGTAAACGGTTAGCACTCTGGACTCTTGAATCCAACGATCTGAGTTCAAATCTTGGTGCAATTTGACTTTTTGTATGTGTTAATTAATGGTTTTGTTAAATCTTACCTCTTAATAACACTATTAATAACATTAGTATAGATAATAAAATTAGAGAAATTTGGGACAATGAAACAGTAGCTCGGTGGCGTATGGAACAAACACCGCGGCCCGCGATCGTTGTTATAAAGTAGGGTGACCAAAAAATTATTATCTCAAGTTACTCTGTGCTTCGGAAGGCACGTTAAGCCGTTGATCCCGGCTCCATTTGCAGTCGTTAACACCCTTCAATCCGCATTGGGCCAGCGTGGAGGGTCATAGCCCATCCTCCTTAACCATCCATAAGAGAGGCCCTATACCATACTTTACTACACGATCTCAAAAGTCTAATTAATCTCTAATTTTAATTTGGCTTTGCTTTAACGTTATCCCTTAGGCACATGTAATTAAAGAAATTAATTACAGGTACAATACCTTAGTAATTTACACAATTGAAACGCCATTTTACATGACTGAAACTAGGTATATCTACCTATATCCTGTCTAAGCCACAGAATCGCCACTTGTTACTCATATCACTGTTATCTAAATGTGTCCAATGGATTATTTAAGCAAGGTTAATATATAACATTATTCCGTATATTGATACCGGTTAGATTATGATTATCAATGTTATCTTTATTTTATTGTTTTAGGTAAAACCGGTAGGAAGCGACGTCTATCCCAGACCCCACAGGTGGTCGTCCAACCGAAAGTACAAAAACCATATGTCAGAGTTTCCGCGACCTCCGTCCAAAAACCACAACTGGTTGTGAAGGCGCAACCAGAGAGGCCCGTCAAAATATCCAACGTCCAACTCTTGAATTCACAGACTAAGGTGTACTCTAAACCCGTGGAGACAGTAGCCCCACAGAGAAGGGTAATAAGAGTCGCTCCTATGGCGGGCAATCCACGATCTATCCTCCTGCCGGTCACCATTAAAGATATGAAAGACCTCAAATCAATTAAGATTATCAACGCCGCTGATCTTAAGAACGCATCCAATATCAAATTGGCGGCGGCCAATCTTTTGTCTCAGAGCAAACTGCACGATCTCAAAGTGGAGTCCCGAAATGAATACGAGTATGACAACGGCGGCAACCAGTGTGGTAAGCGGTCATATCGAAATGTTTTATAGTTTCAATAACCCCGTATCGCTAATTGAAATCAATTGTAAGAATTCAGACTAGTTACTTGACAAAGACACTCGACTCTTTTGGCGTTCTATCTATTTTTAGACAAAATAATTTCGTGTTTCTGTAATTTAAACAGATAATCTAGTTGTTTTCTTAACGAAACTTGTTTAAAAACCGGTTTTTATAATGAATCTTTATAATAAAATACCGTGTTTTGATACGAGCCGGCCTGTGAAAGTGCTATGCTAAGACGTGTACAAATATTTGTGTTATAGATATTACATAATATGCTAATATCTTAAAGGATATACTTTTCATCTTTAGTATTTGATATTGTTCAGTATGAACTATTTAAGCTAACAAAAATCTAATGCTTATAATTTTAACATTCTTGCAACAGCAAAACAACAAATTTATAAAAATAATAGACAATTACTTGTCTCAGTTGAGTCATATCGTATTTATTCTGAATATAGAATCTGACCGTTGCAGAAACACCGCGTCATTGTCACCATAAAGGTTAGTGGACAGTTTTCCTTATTGCTATTCGTTATTGTCTATCAGATGACTCTGGCAGTGAACGAAGCGAGGATGACGAGGAAAAAGATAGCCAGATAAACGACGGCAAAAACGGGTATCCCCGTCTCGTTCTAACTGCGGAGGAACGACGTCTGTTGGCGAAGGAAGGCATCACGCTACCCACTAGCTACCCGCTCACTAAACACGAGGAGCGTGAACTAAAGAGGATCCGACGCAAGATCAGAAATAAGATATCTGCACAGGACTCTAGGAAACGCAAGAAGGAATATGTTGACGGACTTGAAGACAGGTAAATAAATAATAATACTCTAGATTAGTCTTATGTAGTTCGAAGAACTACCTCCCACAGGAGAACTACGTGAACTAGTTCGCACATTTCCCGTTCCGTAGTTCTTTAGTAAAGCTGAAGTCGACCGAGATAATGTCGTCTCGTTAAAAGTATAAAGGCGAAAAATATAAATTATATTATTCACTGCCTTAACAATAAACCTAATAATTTACATTAAAAATATAAATATTAGTTCATATGTTTATTTATGTTATTTTTGTGTCCCAAAAAATTTATAAAAATATACATAGCTCAATAATCTTGTCACAACAGGAAGGAGCAGTATCAAATCGAGCGATCGAACTGCCTTAAAATAATTCAAAATAAAGAAGATTGATCGCACGACTTAAAACTGCTCCTGCTCGAAAGAGTTGGGAATCTAAACTGAATAAAGAACTGCAACAACGAACTAGTTCGTTTAACTCGTTCGATCTAAGTTGCGAACTATTACGCCCAAAACTACTTCAGATCCTGATTCAAGTAAATTAAGCCCTTGTCTTATGGAAATCTGATCCAAGTAACACACATAAACACTCAATCCCATTCACTGCCCGATACTAATATAGTGTAAAGTATGGTGTCACTATTAATAGTGACTACTTAAGTAGTCGATAGCGTAACTCTTTTTATTCTCTCGAGCTATTTTATCTAAATACAATTTGGTATTTTGATTTCGACGAAATTTATTTGTTATAAATTATAATAATATTAAAACTAAGTATATATCCAAAAAAAAAAATCCATAACTGCGAGATTTTTCCAAAGATAAATAAATAAATAAATCTTAAATATTAATGATTGCGTCACGTTTGATTGCACAAAAAACATTACCTTCTATAAGATTTCTCACTAATGAAACACCTTTCTATAACTTTTGCCGTTTATTAATTGCAATTAGATTGTACAATGGTTATTTTGAGGTCTTGATCTATATATAAATGTATTCAACCTCTATCATTCGTTTTCATTTTTCCTTCCTAAAAACTGATCGAACATGAGAAAGAAAACCCAACGACAGTGAGTGCCATGCTCTCATTTCCCGTAAAAAAACAAGGGTGCCATGACACAAAAAAGAAGAGCGAGAGATAAAAGTCGAACGGAAACTAATTGAGATTGTTAATCATAAATGCTTACGATATTTATAATTTTATGAGATTAATTAATATTTTAATAGATTTTGTTTTATAATATTATTTATATCTATATTCTTTAATGAACAACTTAGAATCACAGAGTGAATTGATAATAGAACTCACATCTTATTTTTATAACTTAAGACATAATTACTATTATTTCTTTCCATAGATAACATTTGATGATTATTTAATTATACATGCAGGTTAAACATGGAAAATCGTTGATTAACAACATTATATTAAACAATGTTATTGGTATTTTATGCATAGACAATCAGATATGTTCCTTTTATTTAAATTTCTTACAAAATAAAATGAACATAATAAGTAAAAGTCATAATTAGTTTTAACAAACTAACACTTCGTTAACATAAAATACAATGCAAATAATATGTCTTGTTGCAGAGTAAAACAGTGTACAGCGGAAAATCAGACCTTGATCAGGAGGATAAAGATACTACAGTCGCAAAACCAATCACTCACGGCCCAACTGAAAAGGTTACAGGTAATTAGCTGACTTGTGATTACTTATTTCCCATTAAAGGTGACATAACACTTAATAAATAACACAATGAAATTATTTAGTGTGAGTATGGTGCTTGTTTAGGTATTTAGCCAGTGTTGAAGGCCACCATTTTAAATATACCGAGTTTTTGAAAATATTATACATAAATATGAAAGTAACAAAAGTAAAAATTAGATAATATATATACAAGATATCAACTAAATCAATTAATTTTGGAGTATGCTTTTTAATGCATTTTCAGACAAATTTCATTAAATATGGGGCAATGTTACACATTATTACGCGATAAGTATTAATTGGTTGTTCACTTATCAACTGATTGCACGACCTTTCAGCTTAAGATAAGTTGATATAGTCATAAAAGTATATGTATTTATTATATATAATTAATTACGTCCCGCCACCGATCTCAAATGTTCAAATTGGAAATTCGCTATAAAATTAAAAAAAAAAATCTTATAAACCAAATTGTATGTAAAAAATTTTGAACCATTAACTTTTGCATTTCGCATTTGAATGCGGTTAACTTACCTGATTAGAAAAAGACAAAAACATAGAATAGAAAACATAACCTCAATTAATAAAAACATAACCTCAATAAATATAACTGTATTACCTATCATATTATCAAAATGTGAAAAAAATATATGTTAGAACTGTTATCAATATTTCTCTGCGATAGGCATTAAATAAAACAAATTTTAGTCCCTTATATTTCAAGCAGTAATCAAAGTAGTGATGAAGACATTACACCAAGGGGAAGTATTGTTATATCAAATTGAATAAGTTCAGTCTATCATCGGTTGCCAACAAACATTTTAAAGCAATTCCTTATCGGAGCGATACCTTTTTTCAGAGTCGTGTTTTTATAAATGCTGAATTATGACGTAAATAGAAACTATTATACTAATGGAGCATAACGTCTTGCGCATGCAAAGTACGCTGTGTGTTTTTATGACATTTAATTTAAATTTTAAAAGGCATGCTTGCTATATTATTGTTTGTGTACCTATATACCCGTGACTAGCATACACAAAAAAGTGGAAAGTCACTTACCAACCATCTTGACTATTATATGTTATATTTCGAAATATTTTAATAATATATTTTTACTAATGCACTCCTCTACATATTGGTATATGGGTATATATATATACCTAAAATTTAATTTTACCTCTTGTCTTCTTGTCTTGTTTAAGTCGCAAATGTTGAATTAACTAAATATTTTAAATATTATTTATTAATAGTATATTTTTGTTCTGTTTACACAGAACGTGTTGACTGGTGTGACGAGCGGACCGACCGGCAAGTCGGCACAGCCGGCGACGTGTCTACTAGTGCTGTTACTGTCTGTAGCGTTGGTCGCGTTACCGTCCATGAGGGAGGAAACGCGTCCGCCGCGTAACGAACAACCGCCCGCCGCGGCCGCCGTCACTAGAGCCCTACTATCCGCCAACAGTAAGTTCATTTTAACGTCATTATAATCATCACCAGCCTATACATAATACACTATAATTACATAATCATCATCACCAGCCTATATATAATTATAAATAACACTTTTGAGGTTCACAACATCACTTACATAACTCGGCCTCCTTATTCTGTAACGCTGGCAACGTCTGATGACAACCGAAATCAATTATTCACAGAGCTCTGTGAGCAAAAGCTCATCGCGCGGTTTTTGTATTCTGTAATTTGTTAATTAAATTACTAATCCCTAACCGATCACTCACTCATTGAAGTTCACTTTCATGGTCGCTAATGCTTTTGGAATAAGAAGTATCAGATATTCGATAGAAGATAAAAAATGGAGTTCAGTGGAGGTCGCCGATATTGACATATAAATTTTTTAATTTTTATTTATAACTGACAAAGGTTATAAATAATAAAATTTAGGGTAATCCTAAAATATTTAATTACAGGCTAACTCAACATGCATAAAAAACATAAGATATTGATGTTCCATTGCACAAACGAAAAGTTGAAATCCTATAAAATTACTTTTTCAATGCAGTTACTCATAAAGCGCTATTTTTTTAATCCATTGTAAACACTGAAATTGAGTATTTACACACATGTTAAATAAAAATGTACTGAAATCCTTTACTGCACACGTGCTTAAAAGTATTTTTTTATTTTTTTATTTGGCCGAGCATCAAAGAAATTTAAAAAAAAAAATATGAAAATATGTCAAACTTTAGAGGCAAAAGTATTTCAAGGAGCCTAGAACGAATATTTTCAAATAAAAATGTATGACACGAAAACATGTTCAAATATCACGTTTAATTTTAACAAATAATTTTTTCCTTTAATACATACTTACTTAGTTTTATTAACCTATATATTTGTTTTATTTCCTCGCAAAAAGCATTGAAAAATGTAAGAAACTTGAGCGTAAAAGGTTTTTCGATTCGTGCGATTGGGCAAAATTTTGCCCTTATTCGTAAAACCTTACTTTCCGCACTCGTATCTTAAATAACTATTTCAGCTCTGTAGACAAAAGGTAGACAATTATAACACAATGAAAATACAATTATTACATTGCTTAAATTACATATTCACTAAAATTGAACATGAACATTTTATGAAAGATGAGTTGCAAAGATTTTAAGTTAACTCGATTTTTTTTTTACAAATTTCTTTTCAAAATACTTCTTTCTTCTCGACTATATTAAATACATAAAATGTTTCTTATTTGAATTATGCAGAACTGGCTGGAGAAACTGCTTTCCATAACCGTATCAGTGATTGTTTGCTTTCACTGAATATGCTCCGAAACTACACGACCAATTTGAAAAATTATTTTACCTGAAAAACACGAGAAAAAAAAAATTGCGAACCATTGATAGAAAATACAAATAAGTGATTTTGACACATTGGAATTATTCACTTTAAGACTTTACAGTTTAGTTAGCGAATAGGCCTACGAGTCCCTAATTAAGTTTCTTTTAGGACTGGAAATGGATATTTGAAATAATTAGATCCGAAACAATATAAAAAAAGTTTAATTTAAACAAAAAATCAATGAAATATGGGACCTCAGAATATTTATTTAATTGATTAATATTTTCGTGTTTTTTTTTTAAATAGCTAATAAACTACTAGTATGTCGAGTATATCGGTACATACCAACGTATTTATATACATTTGTTTTCTACTATGGCAGTACGTAAAATATAAAATATAATGAATAGTATTTACTGTACATACACATGTACAGTACACACTCAATATACAAATTTGTGTACAGATTACAATGTTTTCCTGTGTATGTATTGCAGCTGTGCGTAGTCGTACTGAATTGTATATCGTAACTCTTAGGCTTCAGAACGCGACTGTTTTAAAAAAAGGTTTTAAATAAAAAAAACCCTTGCAGTCGTAAATTGAAATTTGCCAATTTCATTTTATAACAAATAACATCACTTTAAGATTTCACTTCTGGTCAAGCGTGATGCCGCGCAACGCTCGATGAAAGTAATAATATACAAATGCAATGCAGGTCCAATAGTTATTTAGATTTACTAACGTTGTTATCTTCAGCTAAACTAAACAACCTTATTTTCAGTACAATAAGATTGAATGTTCTTTAAAAGTATTAATTTTCACTTTATTATGTATCTATCTGCATCTCTGTAATTGCAAGTCGTCTCGGTGATCACAAAAACGGATTTCGTAACGCATTGCCATCTCAGTTTTGACATGCTTGAGATCACGCGGTCATTGGCCTCTTATATAATTCTGAAATGGTAAAGATTTATACAATTTTTTCTTTTTAATCGTTTGAAGTTAATTTTGTAGGTAATTATAATTCATGTTGAAACCTAGCAACATTCTGTATTGACTATGTAGAATGTAATAATATTTCAATACCAGACTAAAATGCCTGGTAAAGTGTGATTATCGGTAATAGTATACATATTAAGAAAAAAAAAGTATTTATTTTCGTTTACTGTCTACACCCATATCAGTCACACTTGTTAAGTAAAGATAAGAAACTAAAAACCTATTATCTCCCACAGAAATGGTCCTCGACGAGACTGTGATCGATGACGGCGAGTTCAACATGGAAGAGCTTATAACGTTCAACCGCCCACATTCCGACCACGATTATCAGGTGGTGAAGACCTTGGAGACGCAGAAGCCCCTCCCAGGCGGATACGTTGACCTCCCCATCGATGAAGACTGGCCGCCGAACCTCAAGAAACGCATGAAAAAGTTGGAATTCGACTACGAGGATGGCAGGGACTACCTGCCGCCTATAGTCAAGGAAGAGAACTATGAACATTTCTACAAAATAGATTCCAAGATCCGGCCAGAGGACGACGCGCTTAACATCGATGACACCAACTTTTTAACCAATACCCTAATGTCTACTGGTAGAAAATTAGGGGAACTCCTCGACGCGTTCCCTCCCATTCCAGTAAAGAATGAAGACATTGTCATAGAGGAAATTTCAGATTATGACACTCGTAACACAACAGAAGTCAAAAGTTTTGTAGTCAACGGCACCCTCAGCGATTTTTAAATTCTATCACTGTTTTATTTTTAACTTTACATAGCACATATCCTATATTTTTTATTTCTATATTTTCTTGTTGCTTCTATTCAGATGACTATTTTATTATTATTTACAAATGACCGTGAAGGTTACAATGAAATTATTCCTTTAAATTTAAGTTGAACTGATTCCTAAATTTGGAATACAGCCTACCCTGAATCGAAAGGGGAGTGTTTATTATAATTTAGTCTTTTTATTGTGAAATCGTGATTTTATATAATTGTTAGAATAAGTATTATGTATATCGAAGCGAACTTTGTACTGTCAGATTACGAATGAAAGTTGTTGAGTATTTATTATTTTGAGAAATCTAAATTTAATATATCAGATATATTCTTTATAAAATATCATGCTTTGTTATGCAGTTTAGATTTAAGAGTTTGTTTTAAGCATTTTGATGTTACAATTTTGACTTTGGTGCAATTACGTGTATCGTCTTGTGTTAGATAATATTTCGTATGAAAAGAATTAGTTTTAATTTATTTGTCTACTATCCTAAAGTGGAATGTAACTATGCCGTTGTCTTGGGATCAACGATATTGGAATGAGACGTTAGATCGAATAAACTATGTATGGAATTATTAGTATTTTAATATCCTGTATCCCTTAATTAAGATCACATTAAATGCCTCATTCAGAGAGGTATGTTGCTTTAATGCTTTATTAATTAAAATTACGTTAAATTTGTGATTTTCTTTTGTAGATTGAAAAAAAAAATCTAAACTGATTTACTTGTTTATTCCAAGCTTTACGCTACGCTAAATTAGATACGAATATATCATACGTAAGATCATGATCGTACGACTTGCGTATTCACCCCGGATACATTGTCTGCGTTAAATGAGAATGATTGCATTTTTTCTATAGCTACAATGTCGTTGAACCGAACAGGTGCAGGAAATGTATTTTAAAGACATGTGTAGGCAACTTTTTTTAAATACTTTTATTTATAAACATACATGAGACATCTAAAAGATTATTCATATAATAACTTAAAATAATTTTTTTTTCTTAATACAAAATGGGCAGTGTTTCATAACTTAATTAACCCTCTTAAAAGCTTGTATTTCCACCGCCCGACTCTAACCATAGGATATGACATCTTAGCGATGTTATGGCAGTATTCCGTTTCATCTCACTTATTTGACATGTCTTTTGGTAAATAAATTTGGGATAAAAATACTAATTTGGTAACGCCCCTGTTAAATCTATAATCATCGTTATTTATCATTCTTACGTCGTTAATAAAGTCCACGTTAATGTAGTAATATGATACGAAATATCGACGCAACATCGCTAAGGTGTCGTATCTTATAGCTAGAGAGTTAGGCGGTCGCTCTGCTGGTAGGTAGCATATTTTATATACCCATTAATAAGTTTCACATTTCTAAATTCAAATTGACGAACCCTTTCCAATCACTCGTAATTAAGTTAAGGATCAAACTTCAATAGTTTAAGCTTAGTCATGATGAACTAATCAGCGACTCTGTACCTTTTTTAAGTATAAATTTATTTATTTTCCCATAAGGGGCCGTCCATAAATTACGTCACACAAAATTCATGATTTTTACTCCTTTCACATGTTTATCTATACAAATTCTATTAAATATTGTTCTAATGTCACAGTTCGTCAACCCCCCGCCCCTCCTAACGTGTCACGTAATTTATGGATGGCCCCTAACAACGAAAATCAGTCTCAGTAATTTTGCTCATTGCTGAACTAACATTTAATGCTGAAATTATTTTGTTAAAAAAATATATAAACGCTCAATAGTCAGAAATTTATGGACGCTAATTTAATGGAAAAAAATTACAATTTAGGAAAAATTCCCTGGCAATTTACATATTACTGAACCGTATCACAAAGTAGGTATTTATGTACATCTGCTTCAAATTTTAGACGAAAGAATACATTTAATATCCCATAAAGTTCAGATTGTGTGAGAAACGAGCATAACCTTATTGAACAGAGTATTCCAATAAAAGTTATAAATACGAATCAAAAATTGGATCAAAGAATAAAACAAATATCTTATAATAAGCTTTATTTAATTATGAGTTAACAATATTTTCGTATTTTTGAACAGGTTGTGACCTTATTAACCGAATACAAGTCAAATTGCGTATGCAAAATTTTTAACCATACATCTTACAGAAAAAATAAACACTGACAACTGTTTCTATGAATATTAATATTTATTTTTATATACTTACAATAATAATTCAGTTTCAAAGCATCATGTTTTATTTTATATAATACATAAAGTTAATAAACTACAGTTCAAAATTCTTCTTCGTGCGTCCACAAGCCAACCGATTGAACATGACTTACTTAGTAAGCGAAATTTTAAAATTATAATTTAACTAATTGTGACGTCACGGCAGTGTTGCCGCGACGCGTCGCTTACCTTACTACGATTGATGAAGCAATAAATAATCGCAATGGTAATTCAAGTCGATAAAATGAAATTGTGAGGGCCCATTTTTCACTTCATCGAAACAAACTTTCAGACAATATGATACAGATATCAATGTAAAAACGTTTATTTGACATTTTACCTTGACATTTTGAATCGATGAAACGGGCCCTAATAGTGCAAGATATTTAATCGTGATTGAAAATTATCTATAGAATTACAATGTACAAGCTGATTTGATTTTTCTGTTGCTAATTGGCAAGTAGCGCTCAAAACACGCCACTTCAGCGGCCTCGGACGCTTCGCACACCGCGCTGGAGGATCACGATTCACGCGGTCACAATCCAAAAAATTCGACTTCCTTTACCAATTCTAATTTGATTATTCTATCTAGCAAATAGAATGTAACAATTAGGTACAACTATGGTAATAATCATGTTTAAAGACTTCAAAATTTCTCATTACGTTCGATTACACTGCACGATTGTACAATAAGTATTAACGTTCCATTTGACGAACAGAATACACCCGATTTGTTCACAATATTTTGTAAAGAAAATTAAATCAAAGAATCTATTTATAAACTCCATATTACATTTCGACAATAATCGCATAATTCTATACTTTTTCTAAAAATATGAAAACGACACAACAAGATGTTTATTTATTTTTTATGTTATAAAACACTTCAAACATACTTAGCCGAAATGAATACGAATAAATTCTAACGCGGGATATAATTTTGTGATGACTACAATATCCGTGACTATCCAAATTACCTTATATTTATATTTCAAGTGATCAGCGCAACGCACCACCCGACAGTCGAACGTCGGTTATTATTATATAACCGGAGTCTTAAGTGTTAAAAATTGCATCATGCGCTTCATAAACGACATTTATAAATGTTGCCGCTACACAAATCACGCTAGTTCGAATCCACGCCGCCGGTCCAAGCAAAAATATACAAATGTGTCTTCTATAAACTGTACAATATTTATACAACATCCGCGACTTTGCCGACAGTTCGCAGTACTCTGCGTTACGTTACTATATTTTGAACTGGCATTTGCTTAGCAAAATATAACCTATGATAAAGGCGCAGTCTAAACAAAATTGATATTCTAAGTGTTCTGTCTTACACATAAAGTGACATTTTGCTTTGCAAGCGCCAACTGTCAAAATAACATTTCTTAGACATATTGTGGTGACGTATCAGTCAGGTCTCAATTAGATGCCGAGCTTATAAAAAAAAAGACACATTGAAAACAAAAGTGACGCATCATCAAAAGTATCGCTTGTGTTACAGCAATACCTATGTTCTATGACATTTCTAATAACTCAAAAGTTTAACTTCAACTATATTAAATTAAAATATTTACCCAAAAGTAAGGGTTAAATCATTAAATGCATCGAATATCAAGACATATTTTTTGCATTGACTCGTCACTTCAATATTCAATGTGCTACAAAACGCCGCACCGAAACCACCATTATAACAAAACGACGACTAAAGTTAGTACCTGGTTTAAACGAAATTGACGCTTAAAGCAAATTGACAATGACAGAAGAGAAACATCAAACTGAGACGTGTTGTCTCTGATTTTTCTGTCATAGAATTTACTAACATCGGCGATATATATATGTTGAGTACGTCTCTTAAAGGTAAAACTTTCAAAATCCAACATTTAATTTGGGCTTTCACAAAACAAAATTCAGAGTCTATAAATTAGGAAACAAACTAAGCGAAATACTGGATACTGGCGAAATCCACAAGGGCAACGCCAATAATTAAAAAGAAGAAGAGACTTGATAGTTTATCTCTGGTACTAAAGTTAGCAATCGTTTTATAATAAAACTGTGCAAGTTCAGATACAATACTACGAAATGACTAGCTCGGGCCGATCGACGCTCGCCGGGAAACCTTTCAAAAGTTCAACTCTCCAAAAAATACCATCATCACTAAAAATAAATTATGAAATCAAATCGATCGCTATAATGTTTCAATTGACATTAGCCCAGATCCGCGTGGTCGTTTACTGTCAAATCTAAAAAATATGCACACGCAATGTTATCATGATCTCTTATTCTCATTACAACAACGATGACTACATGCCAAAAGTGTATAGGTACATACTTTTTCACTGGACTGTACAATGATGAAATGTCACATTCAGTCTTGTAGGAATAGAAAGTCAGTTCGCTCGGGTACTCGACGGGATACACATATCGAAATGAATTATATCTTTTACACGTCATAAAAGAATGTTTATATAAATTATTGCACGTTAAATATAACATTTTTATCCAAATGAAAAACAACTCAACGGATTTGAACATACAATATGTTCGCGGAAATGTCGCGTATCTGAAAAAAAAAATACATTACAATCTGTTTCATTTATTGCTGTTATTTTATTTATTAACTATCATACTATAGGCATGAATAATGATATAAAGTGGCGTCACTATAGGAACGGAGCCAAATTTAAATAATAATAATTATGTATCATACTTGTTTGCCGCACAAATTGAACATAGTTCACAATGACTAAATAAAAAATAAAACCTACAATATATGCATACCCGGCTCGTCGAACATTGCAAACGAGAATAATTGTCCCTAAACACTGTTGGAACATAAGAAGCAGCCACATTACCAACGCGTCAACCCCGAGTTTTTGAGCTGCCCATATAATATATAACAGTACCAAAATTTCATACAACTTTTTGTAAAAACATCGGCAAACTTCCTATATCACAACCTGAATATAAAATAAATATTTGACGTCGCCATTCGTCTGCAATATTCAATCCGCCGTGATCAAATAACGTTTCAACAGCACACAAACTTATTACCAACTCGCCATATCATCTATGTTTATGGTAATTCATTACTTTTGTAACAAAATCAAATTACAACCATTCACAGACAATAATTATTATATGAACATAACGTACATACAAAAACAAAGAGAATATTAAAATCGGCGTCACTATATCGGGATAAAGCAATACAAGACTACTAAGTATTTTTTTTATAAACTACGGTTGTATGATATAATGTATTGTTAAAGTACAAATCGTTTGATTTGTTCGAGTTATATGCTGGAATGGACATCGTCGATGCGAGATGCGTGCCCTCCCGTTCATCCGGACGGTGTCATCTCTTTCTAACTAAGTTTAAAAATGCGAGTGATAACGATTCTTTTGGGGAAATGAAAGGAGGATGATGAGGTAATCTCGAATCCCACTAAAGAGACAAGTACATTCGTGAGTTTTACTGAGAATGTAAAGTAATTTACTACGGACGGGAACATAAATTAGAACATTCAACCGACCGCGCCCGCCCCTTAATGGGCTATGCGTGCACGAGATCATCTAAAGGCAGTGCCAACAATAGTAACCACCACGAAATTGAAACCTATTATTTCTCTTATTAAGACTGAGAATTCATTGTAAAATGAAAATGACCAGTACCCACCCGAGATAACCATAAATCTCGACCATTCCTTAATCTATAGGTACGCCTCGCTAATTTCCATCGAGAAGGAAAAATCATAAAGAAAAATTAATATAAGCAGACTATATTAAAAACTAGTCACAAATTGAGTATCAATGTAATGAATAAATAATTGACATTGGATATTTCAGTGAAAGCTGAACGATGAGAACTCGTGGTTCAGAATATCTGCTAGAAGTTACTATTACTTAATTCATAAATTCAAAATAGTAACAACAACAGCTCGACTAAGATTCGAAGTATCTGTGTTATGTATAGTGCAAATAGTCAGTGCCATTGTAGACCGTTTTACTTTTATAATAAAGACGATAATAGCTTAAAGTTGGAACTGTAATTCGCAGCTTTCTAATTAATTGTGAATAACATACACATGTAAGTTTCCATAGATATTTAAAAATATAAGATCGAAAAGTGTTCAAATAAAATATGATATATATAAATAAATTCAATAAAAAGTGTACGCAAGCAAATACATCACATAACATGTGATTATTTTTTATAGTTTAAAAATACATTCAAGTAGTGACAACATAAAAAATATTTAGGAATTTTAACTATTTATAATAATATAATAATTTCCAATGTTTATTATTGCTTAAAAATTTAATTAGTTAAACGATTCGACAGAATTAATTCAACTTAGTCACAAGACTTACAATATATGTTTAAAATTAGTCTTTTTAAACATTTTATAATTATGAATTCAATGGTCATACAAATGTAATACCAAAATCTCATCTTTTTAAAGCACATTACATGTTCTCTTTGTATTTATCAATAATGTACATTCAATAGAAAAGGGGTGCCACCAAATATCAAATATTTGCAAATGAATTTAAACTCAACTAACAATTTATTAAGGGATTAAAATCAAATGAAGATATTTGATACTTTTGTATACCCTGGCATTGTATAAGACTCAAATTTTAATATTACTTTTTAATGACATATTTTCGATCGAATCAGTTAAGTTATAATAATTAAAGTCATAGATAATCCAAAAGGCAATTCTTTAAATAGATATTAAACTGTATACAGTTTCAAAGTCAAAACTTAACGCTTCAAGTATGTAATAAGACAGTAATTCATTTAAATTAAGATACAGAAGTATTACAATAGACCACACATAATCAGGATAATTTACGAAGGACGTACAAGGTTTATAGTTTTTATCCAATTCGGTAAAAACGCAAACAACATTACTACTTCAACTTATTAACGACTTGAACTTTTAGTGAAATAATTGAAAATCGCCAATTTTAAGGTCACCGTAGCCTAGGAATACGTAACAGACTTGAGCTTTATTTGTGAGCGCACTCTATTCTTATTTTATGCTTTATCACTCCCATATATGTCTGCGACTTATTAAAAAGGCAGATCAAATAATTCACTAGTAAATAAGTATGGTAATTACGCACATATCATCATTTAAACTGTGTCCCTTAGAAATAATCTATGGCAACACTCGTGTATTGTAAATATTTATATTATTTAAATATAATATATATTTATTATGATATTATTATTATGAATACTTTTAATAAAACGACAACAACAGTAAAAGGTACGCATAAAAATTATTGGTCGGTTCAGAGACATTTTATTCTGTAACAAATCTTGCATTCAAATAATGTAATATTGCGTAAGAAGAAATAATGAATGTTGCTTACATTTCGCTCGAAATGGACAGTGACGGGTGTGTTATTAGTGGAGGGGCGTGGCTTGCCAGTGGGCGGGGTCTGGGGCGGGGGCGTGCGCGGGGGCGGGGCGGGGGCGGGGGCGGGGTCAGGCACACTCGCGTCACTTGCCGGCGCGGGCGGCGCACTTCTTCTTTTTACGCTTGAAGAAGCAACAGCACCTGGAATAAACGGATTGCCTGCATGACGATTTACAGAGTCTGCTGCGGTACGTGTTTGTGAAAAACATTTGTATTTAAAAATGCGTTAAGTCTAAATTCGCACGCATAGGTCGGGCATCTTTATATAGCAAAAAGTACCAAAGGAATAACGCTTGAATTCGAGCTATATATTTTTTTGCAAAACTGATGCTTTTTTTACTCAATATTAATTTACATATATTACTTCGTTAAAATCTTGTTAAAAATATAAAACGTTAAATATGTAAAACGAACAGAATTTGGAAATAATAAAAATGCGAAATTGCTAACCAACTAATTATTCATAAGAAAAAACATAAGGCTATTTAAATTAAGTTATCTTACCATAAATGAAAAATAAACTAAATAAAAATAAGTTTACGACACACAATTTGTTTGTCTCAAGTTTGAGAAAACAAACACGTAAAAACAAAATTTGGACACTGAAAAAAGAAAAATATGAAACATCAATAATAATAATAAAAAAAAAAGAAAATAAAACCAAAATCGTCCGTACAGTTGGAACACTGACTTGGTGTCGTCCACAACGTCAACCTCGTGGTGCGGCTGCGTGATCGGCGTGTTGCTGTGGCCCGCTGTCGGATCGTCCGCGCCCAACTCGCCGTTTGTCGAACTCACCACCTAGGTACATCGTATTAACCACTTTATAATTTCCACAATACGAGTGTTTTTCCTTAGAAGCAGTTACGTTTTAAACCCTTTTGATAATCGACAACATTTCATAATCGGAGCAAGAATTTCTTATAATTTCACGATATTTCTTTACGTATTTTTTTTTTATGCTATTGTTTGAAGTGTTGTCAATAAACGATTATCGAAAGAAGTTACTCTTTGTACGCATTCTTTCGCATTTTGCCATTGCATTTTCGACTGTAGAAGAAACTGAAAGTAGGATTTTCCAACAAGCCTGAAACTTTTGCTTCTTTATATTATTTTAGCAAGTGATTGTTTTGAAAATAAACTGTTTCGATCTGTAATCGAAATCAACCCTACATTTCCACAGTTTATTTTCCCTACGTAGTATCATAAAAAGCATTTTGAACTTTACGAACTCAAGAACAGGTGTGTTTTTCCAAAAACATTCCTCAATTTAATCCTTTGATTTATTAACAATATCTGTTTAAAACCATCCAGTATCTATTTAAAATAATCTCTGGATATGTCTATAAAGCAACAAGAAAGGTTAAGTGACAATATCTAAGGTACTACGACATTTACTACAAAGTGGTATAAAAGCATTTCGTGTTATGTTGATTTAATAAATAATCAGAAGCTAATTTTGAATTAAGAAATATAAATATTAGCACTTTACATGAGGCTACGTAATGTATTTGTCACAGGATAACAATAAAATCAGGTTTTTTAATTTAATCATTCGACAGATGATAAAATTGTTACTTAAGTCAACCTTAAACGTCACTGATTTTTATCAAAAACCTAATACCAGTTTAGGTATATGATAACATTATTCTTTGAAACGCTAATATATTATGTATGATTAGATTAAATATTAAAATGTCATCAATCTTGTTTTATTTTTGTATGTATGTTGAAATACATGATCTTCATGGCATTAAAAAAAAATATCAAATTAGGTTTACAAATTGAATGTAAATCTCTAGTCCTACCCACATATTGCACTAATAACTCGTTGAGGTAATGTGGCTCACTTATGTACATACGCAGAAAGTTCGACACGTAATATGTATTTTACAATTAACTGTTATTAAAATAAGACCGCACTGACAGGGGTCTTAGGTATTTCTGTGCGGAGCAAATAAATACACCGCACATATGCATAGTTCTATAAATTTGCTATGAAGTAATGTCACTAAAATATAGAAACGGGTAGTAAATAATATTATAAATCAGTTAGAAGATGCATGAGATCGGCTTTTATTATAAGTTTTGATGAAACAAACATGACAAATTTGAATTCAATATTCACTCAGAGAAAGAACATTGAGATAGTTATAGGTTGTATTAAAATATAAGAGAAACGGTTTAGTATCTATATATTTTAGTTGATTAAATAGAACGATTGAAATGCCTGATTCGAATGCCACAGATTTTCATTTTAAATTGCTATGTTTTAGTATATCATACTGATAAATTTCACATCTTAATTGGCGTGTCTCAAGCATTGTAGGTTAACTAAATTATATTTTATATGTTATACAAACACAAGCGACTAAAAGTCTTCATGAATGAATATTGGCAGTTCGGCGGTGCTTTTATAAGCTTCGTTACATAGAGCACAATATATTAAGCCTCATGCAGACACACTTTGTCGCAAAATGTTCAAAACTGACCGTAGACACAGATCCGGGAAATTTCACATATCGAAAATGTTTATTCTTCAACAGCTAAAAAATAAATACACCAATATACATTCACAATTTTATACATAATAAATAAAATGCATAAATAAAAAAAATATGTCGTAAGCATGCGTCGAAAGGACTAAAATAATATTTTAGAATAATTCTTATTGTGTACGTGATATTCACAATTCTTAACACTTCATAATATAAATTAATGGTAATAAGTAATATCTATATAACAATGGAAATCATTCCCCTTATATTGTATGATAGAAATTTTAGGGTATATAGTTCTTTTATTTCTATTGTAGTTCGGAGAGAGAGGATTACGATTTTGCAATATAAACTCTTTGCTACCCACATTAGGATAAAATAAGATTGAGATAAAACACTATTTGATTATTACATTTTCTAATTTAGCTACTCATTACCGTAGTGCTATCGGTTATGTATTAACTTCCAGATTATTTTTCCTCTGAAGCATTTACTTGCATTTAAAACTAATTTTTGAAAAAAGACATGAAGTATAACTTAAGTATAATGTTTGATATAGTTAACATATAACCTCATTTACACGGTGGACGATGTGATGCAGAAAATTACCAACTCGGAGCCCGCGATTTACCTGTACAGAGCCGTGTCTGTCTGCGGGGGTGAGATGTCCCGTGGTGATAGGGGTGGCCTTCCCGCTTGGGGGCCAGTTGCCAGTGTTGGTGGTACCTCCCGTACCGGTATCCTTAGCCGCACCCTGCAATAGTACCCGATATATATACCGTGTACTAAGTCTACTAACCCAGGGACCGTCAGCCATGGGCTACAATTTGCAAAATTACATGTTTTAAAGCCGCTGAATTCGTTAGTAGTATTCATAGTATATTTGAGGTTATATTACACATAAGCAAATAAATTATCATTTAAATATACCTACCTACTGTACATACGTAGAAGTAATTAGCGAGTGAGAAAATTATACATTTCTACATAATTATAAAATATGTGAACATGTTAATATATAAACAACTCAATTTAGTTTTTATTTATTTTTATTGTTTCATCCCATTATTTTTAATTAATTAGCCTTTTCTATCATTGAGAATTTTAAAAGACGGTTTTCAAAGCAAACATTTTTTTGTTGTGAAGTATTAAACTTAATTGATCCTTATTTATTTTATATTTAATCATTTTTTTATAATGTTAATAATATTATACTTATAGTTTATTCTGAAAAGTGAGGATTATAAAATGCAATATTTGTTTGTCGGTATATAAATGAATAATTATATTAACATCTATTTTCAAATTCAATCAGCACAGAAATATACATTATCCATAGTATTATCAAAGATTACTCAACCATATATACAAAAGAACCGCCAAAATATTTTAGTACCTGAATTATGTAGCTAACAAATTGTTTTCATGAAATGCAACTACACTTGCTATTAATATATTTTAATTATTTATTACGCAATAGAAAAATACAGACTGTGATAAATATAATAAAAATTGTATTTTAATGAATACTTCACACCGGAACGGCAGCGGCTTGACAACTTATTTAAAGTTTTATCTTCACCACATTAACATGTAAAGTTTTATCGGTGCTTCATTTTAATGGCTGAAATGGAGGGCTGGTCAAAATTGTGTTTTGCAGCCATTCAAGTAGTTCTTTATAATAACTGCATAACATTATATGACATAACACTGTTTTCGTTAAAATTGAAATTGCCGACCGCTGCCGCTTCTTAGCCTAAAGAGAATTCATAACACAGTATAATTTTGATAGCAAGGCTTAATCCACACAAACGCAAATAAGCCATAAAAGCACAAAGCAAAAAAGCTCGATATTATAATGTACCATCAAACACTTCTTTTTGGAGAAGAGACGTTTAGACGTTTAGGCAAATATGATTGAGACACACTCCTTTATACAAATGACGTCATTATTTTGTTTTATTAAAAAAAAAACTCAGGAATGCCTTTAATATACGGAAAATTAGTAATTATTTACAATTATATGACGACGGCACCACTAGATGCAATCAATGATAGTGATGGTGAATTAAAGTTCTTTTTTGATATTTCGCCAATAAATTGGTTCACGAACACAATTATTTTTACGGTATATTTATTCCAGTTCTTTACATTGTTTATTTTCCATAATCATCAGCCTAATAACATCCCCATTGCTAGGGTACAAGCCTTAATATAAATAGAATCATTAAAGAGATAATATTAATATTCACATATTATATGACAATTCTATTAATTTTAGCTCTATATTTTGCTATCACATATCATAATATAGCGAGATTAGCAGATGAAGAAATAAGAAGGATATAATGGAGGTCTAAAATATTTCGAAGAGGAAATACTATCACAGTGATTTAATGTTGAAAACTGAATCCAAGCATAGAATGTTTAGCGAACCAATTTACTAAACAAATATATCTATGGGGACAAACTCTGATGCAGCAGGTGATGCAAGGGGCTTCTAATGAAAACCAGTTTTTATATTTTAGACCAAACCTCTCCAGAAATAAGCGCCGCCTCATCGTCCTCAACCAAACCAATCATATAATCACACAAATCATCCTGCACCGACAAAAAAACATAGTGAGAGTCTGACAGTCTGACACGTATCTCAGATACGAGAAAATACTAAAATATAATGTAGTGTTCATGTATTAATATTAAGGGCCCAGGCGAATTATCTGCAAAACTACGTGATTTTAAATAATATGAATGCAAAGTGTACCCAAAATCAATATTATTTTAGAGGCCTATTACAGTATTAGAGCAAAAAAAAGTTTTTGATGCGCGCATGGTTTCTAAATAATATTCTTATTTTTAAAGACTAAGAAATCTTTTGACATTTTATGTCTAATATTTAAAAAAAAAACTAAGATTTGGGTTTAAGAACTCTAAAATTATACAAGTTTTTTCGACTTTGCCACTATGTATGAATATAAAATGCTCTGAAACCAGTAACTTATTATTATTATAATAAACTAAGGAATTAGTTTTCGTTTATATTTATACATTGAAATGTCACAAAATACATGACCAATAAACGTTAACAATAAAAATCATATATAGCAAGTAAGAAAACAATAATACTATAAAATTGTAATTGATCTGATCAGATCCTTGCTTTTGTAAATTAAATTTTAATTAAAATACAATAAAAGAGTAATCTGATAATTTACCTTGTGGAAGGGTTGATGTCTATCGCGGTTTGGAGACACGACAATCTCATGTCCCGTCTGAATAGAGCCCACTGGGGTAGACTGGAATTTACAAAAAAAAATATATATAGAATTATACAGATCGAAATAGTTTTTTCTCTACTACAAATAAGGGTTACTTTTCAATCAAATGATAATAACAACAGATTATTAACAACACTAAAATACTCGTACAATGAAATAAAAACGTACAGTCAATATTAGGTTACACAAGTGTCAATTGCTCCAACCGATTATAATCTTTATTATACCTCGTGTGTTTTATAATTTTTGAGCCAATCTTTTTACTGAAAAAATAAAATAAAATGTTACTGGCTGTTATATATTTATTACCGATTTTGAATTTAGAATGTTAACTTTTAGTTTATTTGTATCGCAAATTCATTTGTTTATATTTTTTCGTGATGGAGGTAACGAAACAATTACGTGCAATTGTCATTTCGCTACTTAAGGCGAGAAAAAACCGATGCAGATTTTCCGCGAGCTGAAAACTTTCCCTTTAAGTTATAACTTCGTCTATTACACAATGCAGCGCTACAAAAAGACAAGTTCTCTGCAAGATCGCCAAAGGAGTGGTCGGCCACGGTCTGTGAGGACGCCTGTGAACATCAAAATTATCCAAGAGCGACTTCGCCGAAATCCATGTCGCACTCAGAAGAAACTCGCTTTGTAGACTAATTTTTAGAGCGTTTCAGTGACCAGAATACTGAAATATGATCTAAAGGTAAAGGGTTATTGCCGTAGAAAAGTTCACTTTTTAAACGATTGTCTTCGTAAGTTACGACGTGAACGTTGTCCATTGTTGCTGAGAAGACAAGATGCCAGGAAGATACTCTTCCGACGAGAAAATTTTTACTGTCGAAGAAAAGTTTAACAAACAAAACAATAAAGTATACGCTAAAAGTAGCAAGGATGTCCCAGCTTCTGTACGGAATGACTCGCGCACTCATTATCCAGCTAGCGTGATGGTATGGTGGGGAGTTTCGTATAAGGGTGTCACTTCACTCCATTTCTGTCAACAAGGTGTCAAGATGAAAGACAAGAATTATCAAAGTGACATTTTAGATCCCGTGGTAAAACCCCTGTCTGATACGTTATGTCACAATAAGGATTGAGTTTTTCAGAAAGACTTGGCTCCATCCCATAAAGCAAAAAGTACCAAAGCTTGGTTGAGGGAGAATATTCCTTCATAGGGCCTTTATTAATAGGGCCTTCATCGCGGCAGACGAGTCAAACCGCTCAATCCGCTGGATTACTCTTTATGGACTGAATTAGAGGTCAGGGCCTGCCGAAAGTCTCACCCAAACTTGGAAGTCACTGAAGCGAACCCTTATTCGAGAAGCAAAGCGAATTCCGCTAGAAAAGTTTCGTGCCGCCATTAATGACTGGCCACATCGCCTTAGGGCCTGTATTGAAAACAAGGGTGGTCATTTTGAATAAAATATATGTTAAATATTAAAAAAAATAAGCAACTTTTATTTCGTCTCAAAACTTATGAAGACACGAGGTATCGTACATAGACTTAAAATTCAATATTGGAAGGCAATTTTGTAGCCACCTAACGCCTAACTCTCTAGCCATGATTCTAGTGATAGGATACATTTTATCGATGTTGTATCGATATTTCGTATTACATTCTACTTTGACGTGTACTTTATTAACAACGTACGAATGATAAAGAATGATGATTATAGATTTGACCAAATTGATATTTTTATCCCAAATTTATCCACTAAAAGACATGTCAAAGAAGTAAGATGAAACTAAATATCGGCATAACATCGATAAGATGTAGTCTAAAGCTAGTTTCATAGCTTGAGTTAGGCGGTCGCTCTGCTGCTGTACACACCGTGCGTCGATTTGTGATGATTAAGCTTCATGGATATTACTATAGTCTAAAGATGTTTCATAAACCATGATCATATACTAAGCTTACTGGGTAAGAACATGCGTCATAAAAGTTAATAGCAAAATGAAATGAAAACTCCAAACATGTGCATCGACAGTTGAATACAACATATAAACAGCTAACGTCTATTTTTTAATAGATGATAACATATTTTTCAAGTTTTTTATAATTGTTAGACAAAAGATATCTGACGATGGACAAGCGTATATTACTGTCTGTGGGTTCAGCGTAGTACTAGTCAGTGGATTATTAGTGCACTCGAATAATGCCATTCGATAGAATATGCAAAACGAATTATAAGTATTTATAAAAATCTGGTAATTTCATCAAGCGAGTATACACGATGGCTGTAAATTATTATATTAATATATAGTTTATTTATCTTATTAATATTAATGTACTTAATAACGATATACAATATTGAACTCGCAAAAACTACACATTTCCATACAGTTTCATTTGTGATTTATAGCGTACTTATGAAAAATTAAGCATATTAAAACTATAAGCAACTGAAAAATGTGTTGGCTGTATAATTTCATTCGTAATTATGAATTTAATGAAATTACCGAAGCTAACGCGACCGACCACATGAGTAGTTACCCTTTCTAGCATACCTAAAGCACCTACAAATGATACATGACTCATTTAGTATCTTTAGCAAATATCGTATACACTTAGCCGGGTGACGTCACAGAAAAAAAGACCTTACTAACCTTGTCGGATTTATTTTTAACGACATTTGATGGGGGCGCGTTGCGCAAGATTCGCATCACATGAATATTGGCTGGCTGCCGTGCGTAAGCGAAAGCATGCGCATGCAACACAAACATTCTTAAGTTCAAAATGCTGAGGAAAAATTTTATGTTGTTATGAATTATTTGCCAAGCAGTCTTCAATGTGAATGATATATACCTAAAGTAAATTTAACTTTATGCGCATGCATTCTGATGACGTATTCCCTCCTTTTGTTCGATTTGGATTCGGAGAGCGCTATCTCTGTCGCACATACAAGCAACCAGATGTAGATATAAGTCGTTGTTAGTGTTGAATAGAGATAACGCTTCATAAGATTAATTGAAAAAATATTATTGATTAAAAATCAATCAATTCAGCTGATTAATATCCCTAAAAGCTGACTCTTGCAGATGCCAGGATTATTGCCCTTACAGGAGTCCACACACAGCTTTTCCTACTCTATTATAAATTATTTGTATTATCTATGACAGTTAAATGTCGAAGTATTCAGACTTTTTACAAATGTTATCAAACAAAAATAAAAGTAACAGTGCGACCGTTCATTGTTGAGGAGCTGAAGATATTATTCAAGAAGAAATAACTATGTACCAAAAAGTTCAAAGTTTAATATTTTTAAAAGGATCTTAATTGAGACTGTATCTTAAGACATGTGATTAAGTTTGTCTTAGTAAATAGCAAAAAAAAAACCAAATCACTTCAATCTACAAGGAAACCACACAGTCAGAGTTATATTTTATTATTCAAATAATAAATATGTATTTTCTACTTCTATTGAGAATTGAAATAATTCATTAACTAATACACAAACTTGTTAGGGGTAACTTAACAAAAATAAAATAATTAAAATGCATAAACTTTGGTCAAAATTAAATAAAAGGAATTCGGATATAAAAATGAATGTAATATCATATCTATCATTTATTGAAATCCATAGTAAAAGTATTGTCATAGACAGGATAAAATACAATTTTATTGTAATTTTCGTACACACACCTATTGGACTTTATATTTTATAGGTATGTATCTTAATGAATGCTGTACAATTTTGTAATACTACATATATGGAACTTTATCAAAATATAATTGTTATTTGCTATTTTTATGTCTATATTAACTTGAGAAATCCCACCATAGCAGGCCTCATTATTTTTATATAATAAAAATATGTACAAAACTATCTTATAGTGACAAAAAGCAAATCCTTTTTATCATTGTGTGTCAACAAATTTACCGCTTAAAATCTCCAAACTAGTTATTTTGATAATTTTTCAGATTTTAATTTGCGTTTTGTTCCTTCTTGCAATATTTTAGTACACAATAAATTAAACCAAAGCATTATATTAGCAAGCAATTAAGCAAAGATTATTGACAACTTAGGGCCGGTTCATATCATGACAGAAGATAATACGGACGTATGCGTACGCGATGACGGATCATCCAGCTTCTTCATTTTTTATTTATAGCATGTGTGTGTAAACGGAATTCTCCCAATATCGCGTTCAATGTCATATATTTTGTCACTTCTGACGTTCCGCGACGTAGGTATATTCCGTCAGATATAGACCGGCCCTTATAGCGATTGGATACCAATACGCAACCAACTGGCCTCTGTTAAGGATATAATTAAGGCACGTTCTAGGCACTGAAATGGTTTTTTTCATAATTATATTTTTATAGTTAATTCGATCTAAATTGACATGGTCTTATTATCGATTAGATTTTAGATATACCTTCTAGGAAATGTGTGCTTTTTTACATTTAGTGCACATTAAAAATAAACCATATCATAATGGGGTAAAAGTAGCATATAACAGGGATAGTATTTAAAAAAAAAAACTGGGACCCAATAGTTCATAAATACTCGAACTTTATAAATTTTTTTTGTAGCCTTAAAGGATGTTATGATAAATCCTTAAACTCAGAAAAGTAAAACCATTTACAATAGTTTCATCTTATTACATTGCCATATTTTAAAGGCACAAATACCCAAAACTTCTGACTATAGCACGGTCGCCGAACAGAAATAATTTTGTATGTTGATCTTTGTACCTACTGATAGATTTCGTAAACATTTTAGGTTCACTTTACTATGACAAAATTAGCTAGATGCATCTGTGCGAGCGCAATAGCAACATAATTGCGCATGACGGAAAGAGATATGTAGCGCCGGGTCATTGTACGAAATTCTCAGTTTGGCGACCGTACTATAGCCCCGATGCATTAACCATAACACAAGTAAAGCAAAGTGAGGCAACATACTAATATTTTTATAGCTATTTACGAGGATAATAACGCGATATTTATAAAAAAACGCATTCCATGCAACACACAATAAATCACTACAAGACTGAAAACGATTAAGGCAAGGACATGAAATGTATACTTTTTATCATTTTAATAAAGCGACATTAAAAGTTATATGATTTTATCAAAACAGCTTCTTTGCCTCTTTTTTTTTTACTTCAAGTATTAATTTCCGATACTAAATTTTTTGAATAGTTAAAAAAAACGGTTTCCCGTAATCATAATCAATGACTTGGTTGAGTTATTGTCGATAAACTCAGAGTAATTGCTGCGTGGCGGTTTAATTACAGCATAATTTTCTTATAGGATAATAACAATTAGAAATTTCGTAACTTTCGTTATTTGTCAATATAAAGAGCAACGCTCACTATCACATCAATACTGTGGAGGGGCTTCAAAATTTGTTTTTCATAGCAATACAAATAAATCTTATTAGAATACAATCGAAAACAAAAAATATATATATATAAAACAACACTTCAAGCGCATATTGTTTAGAGCGGCCTACAAGAGTTGTTTTATTAACGTGTGCATGGAAAAAGGATAAAAAAAAATCATACACGTGAGCGGTGCGGTGCGTGTATCAAAGGCGGGCGTTATAATAAGCTATGCACTGTTGTTGTTTACCATTGTCTTGCCGGTCCAGTCGAACTCGCCGTCGTCGACGTAGCCGCGGCGTTCGAACAGATCGCGGAACATTCGCCGCAACTGATCGTAGTCGGGCGTCTCGAAGAAGTCCAGCCGCCGAACGTAGCGCAAGTACGTGGCTAACTCCTCCGGATGCCCCTCGCACAACGCCTGTTACACGATATCCACAGAATAAACATAATGCTCAATGATTATGATCGGATATATTATTTAATCTTATTAATGTTTATTTTTTTTATATTATAAGAAAAATGGTCAATGACACAGAACTTTAAAAAAAATACGTATCACCTAGGGGGGTGGATCCAGTATAAGGTAGGGTGGCCAAAAATTTCATGAATTTTTGTGTGACGTAATTTATGGACGGCCCCTGATGATATTTACAAAAAACATGTCATTAATAATATAAATAGAACTAACTTAATAATTTGTCGGAAAGTCGAGATCCAGTCAGAATGATGTATTTTATTGTCGACAAAAAATTTTAAATCTTATTATCGACCGCCTCGGGGGGATCTTATATAATTTTTTTTTTATCTTAAAATGTTTGTGACAATATCCGTTTTTTCACCTGCCCTAGTAAGAGATTATACTAACAAATGGTATTATTATATTGATTTATTGTTGACATCGTATAACAAGATGTTTATGATACTATTCAGAGAGATTGTAACCCCTTATTTTAGGTATTTGTTAAGATAGCAGAGGATAGATTTTACAAAACGGAAATAGTAACCGTGTTTTATTTAAAAAAAATATATATTAATATAACTTACCTCTATCGGTGTTGCTCGTTTGGTGTCACCAATTTTTTGGTATCTTTCTTTGAGTGTATCAGCTTTTAAACCCTGCCAGGGTAAGGAACCACGTAAAAAATACATAAACATATGCCCGAGAGCCTCTAGGTCATCGCGTCTAGATTGTTCTGAAATAAAATCGAAACAGTTTTATCAAAGAAAAAAATACAATTAACAAAATTAAAAATAATATTATACAAAATTATACTCAAGAGTGTGTTTAAATGCTTGAAACTTTACCTTTTCCTAAATGTGTGTTTATTGACATATATCTCGCAGTCCCTGTGAGTGACTTGTGCTCCCGATATGGGATATGTTTGTTTGTCTCTAAGTCTATGTATTCTTTGGCCAAACCGAAATCTGGAAACAAAAAAAGAATCATTGCTACCTTAAATAAATTATATTTATGAGTAGAAGATAAAGAGGTTCATCATCATCCTCCTGCCCTTTATCCCACGTTACGTGGGGTCGGCACAACATGTTTTCTTCTTCCATTCTTCTCTGTCAGACGTCAGCCTCACATCCACACCTTTCTTATTCATATCCTCTTTCACACAGTCGATCCATCTTTTCTTCGGTCTGCCTCTACTCACATATCCATCCACATGCATACCCATCACTCTTTTCGTAACATGACTTTCGTCCCTTCTAAAGATAAAGAGGTTACAGGCCTATTTTGTGTTTCATGACTTCCGTATCAGAGTGGCCCGTACGCCAGTTTCAAGTTAGAGCACCATCTTTGAAGTCGCGAGTCAATGTAGACAATTAGCTTTTCTATAATGTCTCAGGTCTGGGTGTTGTCGTACCTTCGTTGTTTTGATTACTCCATAATACCAAAGTTTAAACTCATACCTGAACTTGGAATCGGAGCAGTCTATATGATGTTGTTTCATATTTATTTTTATATTTAATACACACAAATATAGTTGAAACAAGACAAAAATTTTACAAGTCCGTTATAATGAAAAGGCTTACAATACCTGAAATTATCCAGTGGATTTACACTAATGTGAATAGTGACATGACTAAACTACCATCAATATTGTATGCTGTTGTTTATGTTTGTCTAATAGACAGTCGGTTATGCTAATGCGAGTCAGTGATATTAATACTTGAATTTTCAAACGAGAATTTAACATCACCAGCCCTTTTATGTCCCCACTGCAGGGGCTCAGGCCTTCCTTATGGATGGTTAAGGAGGATGGGCCATGACCCTCCACGCTGGCCCAATGCGGATTAAAGGGTATTAACGACTGCAAATGCAGCCGGTACCAACGGCTTAACGTGCCTTCCGAAGCACGAAATAGCTCGAGATAATAATTTTTTGGTCACCCATCCCGTGACCGACCCTTGCGAAAGTTGCTTAACGACTACGATCGCGGTCCGCAGCGCTTATCCACTACGCCACCGAGCTACTCTACGCTAGAGAATTTAAGGATATCTAAAAATAAACAATAATTAAATACCTATATATATAGAAAATACGTAGTAGCCTAACCGCAAGGATACATCAAGATCGAATTACAAAGGATACGTTATATTATCAACGATAACTTGTATAAGTAAAAAGTATACTTGTATAAGTAAAAAGTCGGTGTATGAAGCAACTAAAGTGTTAAATCCTTTAAGTATTGCAATTAGGGTATAGTTGTGTGTGTGATACAGTAAACGTATCATTTTCTATGTAGGTATAGGGGAATACTCCAAAAACGGTTTGAGCCAAATTTACCAGTAGCTTAATCAAAAATAAAAGAAACAACTTTTTTTAAATAACAAATAACTACGGAGATGACCTTCTGTAGTTACATTTTAAGTTACTACATGTCTAGTTTACGGGGTTGATTTTGAACTCTATGCTCAATGCATTAAGGATTTCCTGACAATGATCGTATCATCGTTGTCTTTGCATACAAGTCAATTAGATAATTGAGAAAATATAATCGAGATCGGTAATTAAGAAAAAATACGAATATCAAGCACGCTTAGCTATTACTGCATTACCTTGTGTCAGACCTTCGATTTTCATCTAACAGAATCAAACAATGACTGGTCTCTTTTCTAAGTCTACTTTATGCAATACTTATCTGACATTTTATAATGGTTATATCGTAATATCAATCGAGTGACTAAAGATTCGATATAGTTGATATAATCTGTCTTTGTTGCTACATGATACAACTTTTTCTTGTGAAAATTAACAATACATACGTTAGAAAATAATCATACCGTTTTTTATTTTTACTTAATAGCCTTCATAATTTTGATTATTTAAAAAGATAAGATATCATCACATAAATATATCAGATCTTATAGTAAGTAGTCAAATCATTTGTATCAATACAACAAAGGTAACCTGGACACCAAGAAAATGTAACACTTCACTTTCTATATAGAACCGACGGGGAAGCAAATCAGAGATGGCTATTTATTAAAAACGGTCACTAATTGAACCATTAGGCCAAGAAATTTTATTAGAAACTATTTCTATACCAGAAGTAATAAACATTTTTGTCGAACTATCTACGAATGTTAAACACAGACTTACCAATGATGTGAATGATTTTTTCCCTCTTAGTTGCAGTTCTACCTATTAAAAAATTCTCCGGTTTCACATCCCGATAAATAAGGTGTCTCGTGTGGACATATTCGATGCGGTGCAACTGAAACACAAATGTACGATAGGAGGTCATTCAACTAAACTGCATAGGTAATGGACCGAATATAATACGAGCCAATATGAACAATATAACGTACGAAATATTAATTATAATACTATACAATGAGATGGGACTCTGACATGCCTCTGAGATGGGACTCGAACACCGAAAAAAGTTGTCATTATCGAAAGTTTAAATATTTGTAAAAAAAAATTTGCTGTTTTTGTAGATTGCCTGAACTATGAATGAAAATACCCTCTATAGTAGCCAAAAAGTAACAAGTATTTGAAAAATTCGTCAGTAACTAACTAACAGTAACTAACAGTAACTAAGTCCCAGGACCTAATAGTACTTAATAGTAACGGTTTTTTTTGTTAGAGCAGTCGCCCGGATTGCGAAAGCTCATGATTTCGAGTCCCATCTCAGAGTGAATATAAGAAATGTGAATTTAATATAGGGTAGCGTTTTAGTATAGATAATAATCATCTGAAGGTATAAACCAAATAATATAGTAACAAATGACATTTTAAAATTAACCATGCAATATATAAAAAGGCAATATTAATGTCTCATGTTCAAATAATGTAATTGTAGTAATAATGTATTTTACGTAAAAGCGAGTACACAGAGATAAGATTTATCAAATCAAATAACAATATGCTTTGTCGTGCCGCTTTTACAGTGGCACGTCTTTTCAATGAAAACACAATTCCGTGTAAGGCTTATCCATACACACACAAAACGTGTGTTACATTGACAATTAATTTTGTAATCAGTTCGTGGGTACAATGGCAAATAAGTATTCTTTTTTCACACTGACCCTATCAAGGTCACACAATTAATGGTTTAATAAGTTACGGTCATTGATTAATTGAAAATAAATCATTTGGTATTATAATGATGATTACCATCTATCAAATAGATTGTTCATAATTAACCGACTCGTTTATTTAACAAATAAAAAAACATAAACTTTATAAATAACATTCAGGAAATGAGAGTATGTATGTTTATATTTGATTTACACGATAGCTGTAACCAGGCAGCACAGTAACCTAGTTAATTGGATTTAGAAATCAGTGCCCATGCACCCAGTGACTAGCGTAATCTCATGGTCATCCGTACCATCGTGTAAATCGAACATAACGTCATAAAAAACATGGCGTCCACGTTCAATCAACTCACCAACTGCATAGCGATCATTAACACAGTCTTTAAAGAGAAACGGCGGCCGCACAGATCGAACAGATCCTCGAGCGACGGACCGAGCAGCTCCATCACCAATGCATTGTATTTACCGCACGGTCCGAAGTAATACACCTCCGGAATGCCTTCTGCCGTCGACGGCGCTACAGGATCCAAGGACAATTGGTATGGGAACGGGAGGGATGAACAGAAGAAAACATAACATTTTAAATACTCACTGTATTAGACAAGCATTGCTCTCGCTCGCACCAGACCAGACACAACACTGCACCCGATATTTGAACCAGTCAAAAGTGACCCGCGAGAGCATTGCTAATTTATATTGACATTATAAAAAAAAGTTTTTAGCCAACGTATCGCCACATCGCTCAAAGTCAAAGTACTATTTATAAAAACAAAAAGAAAAGATATTTATATTCAAGTAAAGTATTTTCTTTGCCTCGATCCAATGTCCAATTAAAAAATTATGTAAAATGAAAAAACAAAACGTTTATTATAATTGTTAGGAGGTACGATACGGAGGCTAACGCTGCTGTATCAAGCCACAATGGCCGGCCTGAACAACGACCATGACCACGGCGTGCGGTTACCCTCGATAACACGAAAATAATAGTTCAATATCGGTTACTGTGTTGCGCCGTATTACACAATAGCATTCTACTTAGCATCGTAGCGGGCACTTACAAGTTGCATTGCGATCATAAGGACCGTCTTCAGTCTGAACCTTCGGCCGCAATGGACGAATAGATCTTCTAGCGAGGGCCCTAACAACTCCATGACCATAGCGTTGTAGCGGCCGCCACATGTGCCCAAGTAGTATACTTTCGGTACACCCTCTAAGCAAATTTTACTATCAGACCTACTAAATATAACAAGCTTGAGCACATTTCGGTATTGCGAATACATCTGTGAACGTTTTCACGAGCGGAATCTTTTCTTCTCGCATGAGGACTACTTCAAACTCTCAGTGAATGTCTAAAAAAATCTTGATCCCTTAATAAAGACATAAATATAATTTAACTGTTTTTTATGCTTCTTCTTGCAACAACTTTTTTAGTACTGACGTAATTATTGCCTCACATAATTTATTTGGTCCGTTTAATGTTTTCATTGCAGGGAAAGTACCGTTTGTAATTATTTGCATACTAATAGTTTTACTGAATCAACATATGATTGCAAGATCTTTTATTACTTCGTTATCTAAATATCCGGATTAAATGAAAATAAAGTTTCAAACGATTAAATAGAAAACATAAGTGATTCTACCCAATTTCAAACATTGAATGCTACATTCAATTTGTACCTAAAATAAAAACATACCGTCTTGGGCAAATGCAGTGTCAAACTCGATCTCGGGCACAGAGTTATCAAATTCAATCAAATAAAACCTACTTCCAAAGATAATAAAAGTTTTATTACATAGAACTTCTATGGTGTACAGCACTGTTCACCGTCGAGTTCGAGGCTGTTTTATTATCGAATAACAAGGCTAATACTGTGGTGGTTTTGTGAAGATAAATCAGAAAAAGAAAGTCCCACAGTAGGCCAGGTCTAAGTACACAATTTAAAAATTAAGTAATAATATTGATAAATGTATTTAAAAAGATACAATTAATTAAATACAAAGTTATAATTTAATGATAAAAACATAAAATAAAAACATCTTTTTTGGCTTGAGGCTAAATATGGCAATATAATTTTTAACCGACTTTAAAATGGAAAAGGAGAAGGTTATATGTTCGCAGGCGATGTATGTTTTTTGTTAGATATGTTCACCGATATTTTTAACAATTTAATTTAACACAACTTGATGAATCGAGGTGGTCCCATTCCAATTTTATCGCAATCGAGTAAGTAATTTTCCTTTTATAACAAAACAAAACAAAATATGTTTTTCAACAGATGTCACCTAAATATTAAGATGATATGTTATGATATGGCCCATTTCAGCTAAAATACAAAAGATTGCGTATTAAATGTTTAAGATTTTTTTTTCTTACAGTATTTTTTGATTATACTTGTTCTTTAATTTTAAATAGGAAAAAAATAGTATGTAGATCTCGCATAACAAGTATCGCGATTTTCTTTGTTACCGATTAACCGAAAAATAATGTGACTAAATCCATAGTCTAAATTAGAAGCCAATTCGAGAGAATCATCACTTCAGAAACACTTATTAGTTCTAAGAAATTCATTTTATATCTACTTACAAATGCGATAAGTAACTACGCGTCTATCGTCTATATGTATATCAGTCTATCTTATTATTATTTTTTAAATTTTTCATGACTTTCCGTTTCCACGTGAATACAGACAAAACAAGTATTTTTCCCCATATATACTTAATAAGTATGGACGGTATTGGCTTATTTCAGTTTTAAATATATATAAGTATTTGTTTAAACTCAAAATGGTTTGAATTTATTCTAATGGTTATGGAAAACCAGTGGCACAAAATTAACCAAACAAAAACTGAATCCTATATGACACTATATAAAAAATATATAACAATATTATACGTTTTCATTTATTAGTAACTATTTTTAAATTGTCTTGTAACATGTTCTAAGCGGTAACTATACCCTGTCGAATTAGGCTGTTCAAATCCAAATCTGGCCTTTTTATGAATATAAACAATTAATGCTTAAATCTACATATTTTGTATACAAACTATCTATCTATAAAATGGTCCGCGTCAGTTGCGTAGTTGCGTAGTTTTAAAGATCTAAGCATACGTAGGGACTGACAGACGGAAAGTGACTTTGTTTTATATATAAGATATAGGAGAACTAATTGAGTTTAGTTCAAGTATAAGACAACATTTTTTTAACTATGATAATAAAATTTTTTAAAGCAATTTATCTCTTACCATAAACGGGTTAATTCTTAATGAAAAATACTTGAAATCCCTCAGACTACCAGGCGCTGGTGGATTTTTAAAACATTTTTCAATGAGAATATTTTCCAGTAAAGCATTGAATGTAAAATGAATCAAATATAATAACTAAATGAGTTTATAGCCATTTTATCTGTTAATATTTTATGAATACGTTTTGGTATTTTAATTACTACTAAAGGGACGGTCGCGACTGGTAAATATAGAATTTCTCACTTTGAAACCAGTTATTTGTTCCATTACAGTTCATAATCAAAAGATTACATTTTAATTACTTTAAAAAAACGCCCTTTTAATTCTTTAACAAAAAATACATATTATCTTAATAACCAGATGTTTAGCATGCTAAAAATGAATAAAACTCTGATATATTATATTAAAAATAAAGAAACCGGCTAAATGTTAAATAAAAATACGTTTCTTATATGAGAGCCCCCTTTAATATCTATTTTGTTCTGTATTTACAAATACATCATCTGTGAAAGTCTCAACTGTCTGACTATCACGGTGACAGACGGACAGACAGCGAAGTCTTAATAAAAGTGATTACCCCAAAATGGACGCCCTACGATGTTTAGATCTTTAAAATACGCAACGGATTATGATGATGCTTAGAACTTTCAAAGAACGCAACGGATTGTGATGCGGTTTTTAATAGATAAGGTGATTTAATAGGAAGGTTTTTATGTATAATACAGGACTACGCGGGCGAAGCCGCTGACGGAAAGCTAGTCAGTGATACTTTTTTTATATTAATAACAACGATTAATACGAGTCGATGATAATCTTAAATAAGAATCATATCAACGCGATTAGATAATATTTTTATATTACATACAATATATAGGTGTAAATATTTTCCCCCCGACATATTTTTGTGGTTTTTATGTATAATGCAGGATCACGCGGGCAAAGCCGCTAGCGGAGAGCTAGTTAGTAATATTTTTTTGTATTAATAACAACGATTAATACGAGTCAATGATAATCTTAAATAAGAATCATATCAACGCGATTACATAATATTTTTATCATATTACATCCAATATATGGGGTGAAAATATTTTTTCCCGATATATATTAGTGTGACATTTGTCACTAGGTGTTCACTATGTGTAGGTGGATAAAATTTCCTTATACTTATCATAGATTTATTCTTGTGATAGGAATAAATGGAATATCATCATTGCGTGTTGAAAGAAATAAATGAATGAATTAGAGGAGCGCAACGCAATAAGTCTTATTATAAAACGAGAACTAAATGGTTTAAATCATTGGACGTCTAAACCAAAATGACAATGATATAAGGGAAAACGTCATATTGATACTCGACTTATTTAGGTCGTATAATGTTTTAAATCTGGTACTAAAGTTAGTCCTCTCTTTATAATAAGATGGATAATGGTAAGTAAATAGTTATTAAACCCATTGATATAATCAGTTGAACAAACTTACCGTGGGTGCCTAGTAATTTGTAGAATCTGTACTCGAGATGCAACTGCGGCGCCTTCGATTTCATCGGCTCCATCTTGATGGCTACATGCTCGTTGTTGTATAGATTTTTTCCTGTAAATGAAAATATGATTTAATGTTAAATAAAGGTCACATATAACAAAACATATTTCCACTATATACTGTTAATTTTATATTAATGTGTATTACATTACATCTAATCTCAGAAACAGATCCGATTTACTTGAAATTTAGTATGCAGGGAGTTTCGGGACCAATACATCGATCTAATTAGCTAGGTTTCGTTTACCAAAAAAAATACCGAGCTAAGTTCGGGCATCCAGGTACTTTATATAATGTACATGTATTTTTAATGAAGATGTCTAATTATTCGAAAGGGTAAAATAGGAGCTCAATGAAGCATTCGTCCTGTGGTTATGGAGTAAATTTGCCAAATGTAAACTATCGGATGGGTGACCAAAAATGTTCTTTCTCTCCTCCGTGCCACAGAAGCCATGTCAAGGCGTTGGAGTCCGCTTACGCAGATCTACCGGCGGTAGACTACCGCGAAACTACATTAGCCTCGATTTGGTTGACATTAGATTCAAAATGCACTGTACTGGATGTAGACAGACTGTGATTCAAACCGATTTATTGAACGTATACACTGTATCTAAAATCGAACGTCGAGTGCGTTTGATTGAATACAATGACAACGAAATCAAAATCGATGTTGGGTTGGCATCGTATTTTATGACCTGATATTTTCCCCGTGTAACTCTATCCCTATAGAAGAGGCTTGTACGCCATCAGAAGGGACATTAATACACTAATGATGATGTCATTATTAATACAGATGCTTAACGACAGTATCATAAAATACATACATTGATAATTATAACCTAATGATTTGTGTAACGATGGTATAATAAAAATAAATAATTATACAATGACATAAATTAGTCGAGTACCAAGAGATGACAACATTTGAATTGATTAGAAGATATCAAACTATACAACGAATAATAGTTTCAACGAAATAGATAGGAATGTAGGATTAAAAATGAATATTATCCTACTACATCATGGGTGGCCAACCAGTCGATCGCGACTATTAGTCCAATCGAACGTGGCAATTCAAAAAATATAAATAGAATCAAAATGCTACATAATTGTGTACGAACTATGCTGTTTCATTTTAAGATTTTAAGAAGCAAGTTGGTAGATCGTACTGGGTGTCGTCAGTGAAAAGTCGATCTTGGGTCTAAACAAGTTGGCCACCCCTGTACTACATCATACAATCAAGTCAGATTTTCTCAGTTAACAAAGCTGCTAAGTTTCTGTAGTAGGTATTAATTTAAAATGAGAAACTTATTGTTTACATGTAGCTCGAAATCAATTTATTGGTTGGTTGGAATTCTCTCTCACCGCAACAAACACCATTAAAGTTTATGTCAAGAGAAATTGAAAACTTTATTCGATATAAATAGCTTATTAATTAGAATAATACAAAATTAGAATAGTACATATTAATAAAAGTGTATCTGAAGCTTTATACCTTTCAAATACTTTTCAAATTAAATAAATCGCCTTGGAACATGTTTAAATATAATTTGTTTTAATATCCTTATAACGAGTCAGTGCACTCGACTGAATTCTCGGTAAGACCTTATTAATAAATTCGTAGTAGAAATTAAATATTCGAAATTTTCATACCCAAATAAGTTAGAGAAGTAGGGTTGTCAAATTAAATTAATTTATTCGTTTTATATAAAAAAAAGTAAAATAGATAGATAGTGTAGTACAAAATAATACCCTCAAAAGGTAGAATACACAAGGCAGAGTACAGTCAAATTGTTTTTATGACGAATAAAAACACTTGTAATCGATTTTTGTTATTCATATTAGATTGACATCTACATTTATTTACACGTTAATAGAGTGTCTTGTGGTTCAATGAACAATTATTAGATACCTTATAGTACTAAGTAATTAATAATACAACGGTTTAAGGTTTCATTTTGCTCTTGACATACATCAACTTAGTTTTCGAGATTTACATATCATCCGTTAATACAAATACATTAAGAGGCAGCCTTATCCAAAAAAAAGTATTGATTAGGTCAAAACATGAATTTTCTCTATAGAAATAAAATAACATGCAAATCATTTTGTAGCTAACTTCCAAGAGTTAGTATCGAGGACTTTTACAATTTTCGAATGTTTTGTCATTTCGATTACCTATTTTAAAAGTTAGGCAGGCACAACCTTGTAATAAATATCTATTAATACATTTGATATGTTAACGTTTCAAATTTCGCCGACCCTGTGATCGATTCAGTATTCAAAATACCCGCCGCTACGTGTGAAGTATAATGTTAAATTGTTAACATTGTGTAGGCCGCGTGGCGACAAAAACAATAGTCTTACGTTTTATTGGTCATCTTGAATAAGAAGGAACCGCATCCGCTGTATAATATAGTTACAAGGATATTTTAATAATGCTTAAGGCAACAACTCTCAAATCCAATTAATAGCTGCACATTATCTATGTTATCGTATTATCGTCTGTCGATATAGGCAGTGGCGCCCGCATGCGGTTTGCATGAGACTATCGGTAACACATGCCATTGGGATAGCATGACGGGACGCTAAATATCAAGATATCTCCAATTAATGCAACATAAACAAAAAAGCAAAAACAAGTCAATGAATTAAATTGTGCAATGGTTTGTATACTTTTTGTATACAAAAAGTATACAAAGGCAGCATAACATATCTTGATATACTATTTTCGAAGTCGGTTAAAAACCTTATTTTTATTCCGAAATTTTTTCGAAATTTAACCTAGCAATACTATATAGGGCTCACTTTCGGTGAGTCATTTTCGCTAATCAAGAAAGCTATGTAATGCGCGGCACGTAAATTGAACCTTGTGTTTCTCGCGCAGGATTATACTGCGTTGCTATGGTTACATGTTGCGCTCCACCCCCGCACCTCGATTGAGACCTGAATGTGCTACTGCGCATAGTTCAACTTATGATGTGTTCCGCACACCGCACCCCGGGTGCGGGTGTATTTTGTAACGCATACGAATGAAGACCATTATTATTGGAAACGGGAACACTCTCACATGGTTTAGTGGCTTATTTACATTGATCAGACTCATTTCATTGAACCCCTTGGACTAATGCAAAGGTCGATAACCGTCAGTCTACGAGCTTCATGGAGCTCTTTTAATGTAAAACTCTTAAGTTTCACTTACAAAAACATTTTTTTTATTGGCAGTCATTTCAATCGTGTAATGGTTCTATGATCCTGATAAGAAGTCGTTATTATAAATTTAATATACAGAATATCGAAACAGTTTTATAAAAAGAATCAAACATCTATTAGGATTTTCGGTTCTTAAATATAGTAGTATAGTATCATAAATATAGTAGGAAAGACTTGACGACAGACAGCAAAGGCTTACACATTTGATATACCCTAAGACGACTGCATTTGCAGTCGTTAATACCATCCAATCCGCGTTGGGCCCGTATGAAGGGTCATGGTCCATCCTCCTTTACCATTCAGAAGCCCCCCCCCCCTCCCCCGACTGATGTCAGTGGCAGTGGGGACGTAAAAGGGTTAATAATGTTACAGATTTGTTGAGCACAGATTTCTAAAAATCAGATCAAAAGCAATCACATTTAACTGTGATGTGTAACTGTGTTAAGGATGTTCATTATCTCGTTTTTAATAAGACTGTTTATTTCTTTATAAATCACTTTGCTCTAAGATTGCTACTCGTGGACAACGGCATTTAAAAACTTGTAATTGTAAATATATAAGACGCCTACGAACATCAAAATCATCCGAGAGCGACTTCGCCGAAATCTATGTCGCACTCAAAAGAAACTCGCTCATCTCGCGCATTTCAGTGAACAGAATACTGAAATACGATCTTAAGGTAAAGGCCTATAGCCGTAGAAAAGTTCACTTAATAAACGATCGCCTTCCTAAGTTACGATGCGAACATTGTCCATTGCTGCTAAGGAGACACGATGATAGGAAGATACTCTTCACCGACGAGATTATTTTTACTGTCGAAGAAAAGTTCAACCGACACAAAAATAAAGTGTACGCTAAAAGTAGCAAGGATGTACCAGCTTCTGCACGAAATGTCTCACGCACTCATCATCCGGATAGTGTGGTGGAACCCCTGTCTGATACGTTATTTCACAATAAACTATTTTTCAGCAAGACTCGGCGCCATCACATAAGGTAAGAAGCACCTAAGCATGGTTGAGGGAGAATGTGCTGGCCTTCATCGCGGCGGACGAGTGGCCCTCCTCCAGCCACACCTGGAGTCACTGAAGCAAACCCTTGTTCGAGAAGCAAAGCGAATTCCGCTAGAAAAGATTCGTGCCGCCATTGGTGACTTACCAAATCGTCTAAGGGCCTGTATTAAAAACAAGAGCAGTCATTTTGAATAAAATATATATTTTATAGTTGATTAATATTTATTTAATGGTTACTAAATATTTAAGAAATATAAGTTAATTATTAAAAAATTACGATACTTTCATTTCATCTCAAAACTTATGAACTGACAAGGTAGTTATTTGAAGAAGAATAAATTTCTATTTTAAGACAAACAAGGTGTGAACTTACTATTTTTCAGATTGTCATAAAAACTACGCGATCCATCCCTCATGCCATTTTTATGGGATCCTAATCGGATGAGATAAGGGCCCTATTAAACAAAAAAGATTGATCAAAATCTTTTACCATTGCCAACGTCTGTTGACGTCACGAATCGTGGCACATCAATAAAAGATCATTAATTGATACCCTCCTTCTTTTTTTGAAAGTGGATAATAAATGTTACCATAACAAATTAGCAATTAATTCGTTACATCATAGTCTTGTTAACTTTCCAGACATGCTCGTCGTTTTTCCACCCATTATTGTATTCTGCGACACCTACGCAGTTCCCATTCTGTCTCACTGAAACGATTTACAGAGCCTCCTGTAAATTTCGTTCAGGGGTAGCGACAACTAAAAATAACTGCACAATTTCTTCATAAAATGAAAGACGTTTCGAAAAGTACTCTTTTGTCTTACTCTAATTGAATTTTAATATAAGACCGTCTCTCTTTCGAAATGAAAAAATGACAGCAACTCCGTTGGGTGGCTTTATTTATTTGATTAAATGTCCCATGGCTAGCTTCTGTCTCAGATGGCATCAGAAGGGCTCCATGCCATATTAATATTGCATGAAAACTTTCAGCTCTAACGGGAACTGGTAAGAGAGGCTAACATACCTACTGACAAACTAAAACTAGTAAACCTGAAGATGGCATTAAAAATTGGGTTTTCTCCAACTTCACATTTTCCATAAACTTTTTTATTTTACGAAAAACTTATTATATAATAAATAAATATTAAGTGAAATAAATATGGCAGTGTTGTGGTGGCAGTCTATTTAAATTACGTTTTATTTAGCAAAAACAAAATTAAATATATATAATTAAAATATACTTTATTGTATTTACTACTTTTTATTATTATTATTATAATAATAACAAACCAACCAAACTATTATATACAAATATATATATTTTATGTTGTTAACAAAACAATAACACACTGACGGTCAGTTGCACAAACATCCATTAAAGTTTAATGACGCCTTTAGGTTCTCATCATCATCATCAGCCCTTTTACGTTCCTACTGCAGGGGCTCAGGCTTTCCTTATGGATTGTTAAGGAGGATAGGCTATGACCCTCCACGCTGGCCCAATTAATAATTTATATTGGAGCCTTAAGGCTCTAATGAATGTCAAATTAGTATGGATAATGTCGCTTTAAACTTATAAATAAATTAATGGACGTTTGAGCAGCTGGCTGTATATTCGGCTATAAAACAAAACCATACTCAGCGTGACTGGACCATTAACGATGAGTTTTTATATTACATAACCACACTTATTTTACATCACAAAGTAACAATTTTAAGCATAATAGTATAGGTACTCAACAATATTAAGTCAAAAAAATGCAATTTAAGGTTGGTAGAGCCCCCAACGGTGTCTACATTTATATGTTTACTAGTGGACGCCCGCGACTTCGTCCGCGTGGAAGTCGGTATCCCGTGGGAGTGAGAAGTTTTCCCAGTAAAAAGTACCCTATGTGTTATTCTGATGTATAACCTATATTGCTGTAAAGTTTTATCCAAATCCGTCCAGTAGTTTTTTCGTGAAAGAGTAACAAACATCCATACATCCATACTTACAAACTTTCGCCTTTATAATATTAATAGGATTGAGAAATTGTTAATATACAAATATGTACACGACCGTAGGAATCGTCATAATGCAGTAAAGCGAAGCCCAAGGTCTATTATGTAAAGTTATTTCGTTGAACTCGTCCCATTAAAGTTAAAAGTAATCTACATTAATTAGCCGAATGGCCCGACTAGATTAAAATAAATTTCACTCAAGATTCAGTCAATATTAACATTCGCAACAGAATATCCAATTTCTTTATGAGTGAACATCCAATCTTGTGCTTTGATTGAACCAGTCAGGTCGACAGCGAAATAAACTGCTAAATGTAGCTAACTGTAAGGGGTATTATTGGCCTAGTGTACGGTTCGTCCTTCGTATATGAACGAAACTGGTTTTTCTTCCGTCTCCGAGCAAAATTGCTCTTTTCCACTTCGCACACATCAATGGAAGATATTTATATTCGACCGAGAGTATAATGGAAACAACAAATCATTGTTTGTGAAAAAGATCTTTGTAGTTAAGACAAGGCATTTGTAACACAAATGTGGGTAGTGAGTTAATTAACACAGTAATACTCGTACTTACAACATTCATTTATAAACTTTGAACAGTTTATTTATCGTATAAATTTTATGCGATAATAGACAGTTCAAAATTTTAATTTTCATGAGGACAGCAACAAAAACAACTAATTTCCAACGAAAGGAGTTGTACATCATGATTCATTCCTTTTATTGAACTATTACACGATAAAATAGATGTCAACATTTGATTTTTATTCAACCGTTTACCTATCATATAATAACAAGATTGGTTTTTGCAATAGCTCACAAATCAAATCGCTGATGGTGAGGAAAACAAAAGGATATAGTTTTAACCCAAAAAGGTTATTGTTCTCGCTAGTGAATAAAACATCAATCGAAGGATTTAAAGAAGCGACTACCTATGAGTCACCCTTCATCTCCTTTTACTCTCATATATCCAGTTTCACTATAACCAGTATCCTGTTAACAAATCCAAACTAGTTTCAATCTGTCAACAATCCGCTGGCCTGGAGGTGTTAAGAGTGATGGGAATTATAGCACTTGACTGAGATAGCGCTCTCTACAGTGAAAGGAGCCAGTCCAATCGTATGCTAACAAGATTTATCGTAACGCGGAAGTTATTTTGTTACACAATTAAATTAATGACGTGTACCGAGTAAAAATTTAAGTTGTCGTGGTGGTGGCAATACCTAGGGCGGTGCTGACGTCATTTCGTTCAGAAAAATTTCATACTACTCGATTTTGTTACCGACAATACCCGCAACCCTTCGAATTGAAGCATCTATATTTTACATAGGCATTACAGTTGAATTCACTCCGACCAGTTGCTATGCCATTTCTATACGGAAACGTGGCGAAACTGTAAATATCTTTTGAATGCAATGAGCTTTTTATCCTGCCGCGAAAATCGAATTCATATTCAATTAGATATTTGAGGTATAGATAAATACCTACTTCACGTTTTTGCTGCAAATGTACACAATAACAACGGGTATTGATAAGTTATATGAAAATCTTGTACACGACAATTAAAATTAGAAAATTCAATGAGTATGAGTCATACAAAAACAAACGACAAAATAACATTCATTAATGAATTGAAACCAACCTTTTTCCCGAGCAATCGGTTATCATGCCCATAGATAAATTGATTTATAATTGTAATGATGGAGGTGACGCATTTTTAATCCTGTTTAGAATATATACGTTAGAGGACCGGTTTGTCATTGTGCTAGTATTACAATAGTTTGGAAAGCTGATAATATTATAGACAGGCTTAATCACCTCACGCACGTGCACGGGCAATAATGTTATTTTCAGTGACGCGAGGTTGAATCCAATTCTCATCCGCACGCAGCCATATAATTTCTCAACTTGATAATTCGTCAAAATGAAACCTTAACTGTACTGGAATAGGGCTTACCTACACTATAAGGTCATATTGAAAAGCACTGTATCTACATAGTATCGAACACCTAATGATTTCATGACTTTTATAACGGTAGACAGCTGATATTCTTAGTCTTGTGCGATTGTTTCTTTTAGAGGCGTTTGGGAAATTGACGGCGTGAAAATGAGTCATAGTCTCCTCCCATTATATCAGGGTTCTTTGTTATTACGTCCGCTTTTACCTGTTGTTATTCAGAGATTTCGTCCCCAATAAACAGTATAATGAAAGGAAATATTAACTATTTATAAGTAGGTACTACTGTTTTCGCATGTTTGGAGCCGATTTATATTAGAATAAGTAGTATTGAGAACATAATTTTTCACCGAGTAATTTATGTAATTAAGAGTTTCTATTAACAGACTCGATTGGACATGTAAATATGGACTTTGGGTTTGTTTTTATAAATTTCCCAACTGATTGTTTTAAGAATTAGGATTTATTATTGTTCAATAAAAATAATATTATTATGTTTTACATAGTAATTAATAATTTAATGAAACTGACACGACCTCCGTATCGTGTCTCGCATGCCGCCAGTTTCAAGGTGTCACCATCTCAGAGGTCTCGGGATCGATTATCGGTCGGGCCAAATTAAGCTTTTTACTTTTGTATTGAAATTTATATTTTCACCAAACACTTTTTAAATTAGAACTTTGGCTATTGTATTTTTTGATCATAAATACCTACCATCTTATCTTTTATGTAGTGGAGGTCAAATTAATAATATCATTGTTTATAAACACTAAGAAGACGATTTATTATGATACTATAACAAACGTACTTCATTCATTTTGAATTCTCTGTTAAATTATTTTTATGATTTCTGGCCACTCTTCGTTGTTTTCGTATTCGATATGATCTTGTGAGAACTTCAGGAGAAAAGACATACAGAGAAAGACTTATATAAAAACATAACATAAATAATCAAGGTACATAATGCATCGAAAATTTTTTGATTTTGTGTATTAAGACGAAAATGGAATTCCTTACTTGTTTTCAAAAAACCTTCATACAAAAATCCTTAAATGTCTGAAATATTTTTGAATAATAAATAAAACAAGCTCTAAATATCACGCAGCGTCTGCACTCCCGCGTCGTTGCACCCTACACTGTCTGCCAGCTTTCATGTCATGGTGACACGTAAGCATCCTGTCACTTATGTTAATAATAAAAAAGAATTAACAGTATTAAGTGGCTTTCTTTTAGCACTATAGTCAGTCTTCCTTATTCTTGGCATAATTAAACAATAACTTTAACTAGCGAAGATCGGGTGGTTAAAGTTAACAGTTAAAGTTATGATGTCAACTCACCATTGCCAAATGATGGAACTCATTATTTGTTCAGCTGGTACTTTAACATGTTTGTTATTTTTAAAGTAATTTGGTGCAACAATCCCTTGGTTTTCGCTAAGACTATGACCCGTTGAAAGCCGACTTAGCATGTTCTTAATGGGCGAATTACTATCTCAAGAAACAGCTATACAGCTCTATACATACAGATGATTTGTGTTTGATTTTCTTGCAGAGCCTAAGTTGGTATGCTTTGTTTTTGATGATCTTACCGAGCCTAAGTTCGCCGAAGTTGCCGCAGCCGATCTTCTTGCCGACCCTGAAGTTAGGGCCGACCATCAGCACGCCCGAGGACGAGGTGACGGAGTGTCGCGACGTGTGCATCGCGCTGCTGCCCACGCCGCGCCCGCCCACCGCCCCTGTTGCGCTGCAATGTGCATACACCATTGTATTACACAATTTTTTATATTATACCTAAACACTAATTAGAGGCACCCAATGATATCTACAGAGCTTAACCAGTTCATCCTGCATTTACAGACGTTAAGAAATTTTCACCATTAAAAATCTATTATGTATATTTTTTCTCACTAACGAGGACTAGAAAACAAATATGGCGTTTTTATGAAATTTAACATTTGATAGGGTTGGGAAACATTGAATTATAATAACGAATGATTTATTGAATGATTGCCTATGAATTAACATTTTCTCTACTTAAGTCTTTAATTGATTTATGCCAATTTTTCACTAATTTTTAGGAGTCGCCCAAATCTGTGGCCTAAATGTTTAGGAATCACATAAGGTAAAAAAAGCATTTCACTATTGACTAGGAAGCGCCTAACGAAATCAAGCAATGTCTAAAGTTATGGTATTCGTTATGCAGCACCTTGCGCTAGGCATTTGCGTATATAACAGGTCATAAATACGTCAAGGGATAAAGGAAAAAAATATTTATTCGGTATTAATCTAAACTGCTTAGGCGATTCGTAATATTAGGCGTTTCCTAATTTAGCTACGCCTTGTTCTAGGTTAGTCTAAATGGTGTAATTTAATACTAACAATATAAAAAAACCATACACTTTACAATGCGACTATACTATAATGAGTAGAAGACTTAGGCCCCCAATACACGGCGTATTTCAAACGCGCTGTTTAGGAACGCGCGTTTTCTGGGCCGTAGATGCAGAATTTTGGGCTTTTATTGTTAGTATTAGCGTTTTAGAGTATTAGCGTTTAATGTGCGTACAAAGGGCCAGAAAAGGAGCGCACGCTCACGCCACCGTACCGTTCGCACCGCAGTTGCAATATTTCAATTGTGTGCTGCGTTTGTATCGCTGTATCTGCTCGTATACGTGCAGTAGACGCACGTTTCACGAATGCAAAATTAATCAAATGTAATAATGAGCTACCGATATATCTCGTTGCTTATTTTGCTTTGTGCCCGTAATTAAACCAATCCGTGTATTAATATCATATAAGCTAACTTTCGTCCTGACTTTTTTGAAATAAAATAATAAATATTGACTGGGAGAATGCTATTAACATTAAGTCCGCCTTTTGTACCATGCTTGTATTAGTCAATAAAGTTCAATAAATAAATAAATAAATAATCACCATAAATTATTTCTACAAATATTTTAAACTGTTTGGGTGGATTGCCTGAACATTAATGAAAAAACGCTCAGTAGTAGCGAAAAATAACAACTGCTTGAAAAAATCGTGTCCTCTCTGCTCGTGTCAAAAAATCGTGTCCTGTGTTAATCGGCTCTGCTCTGCTCTAAAGCAGTCGCCCGGATTGCGAAAGGTAATGGGTAGCGTGGTAGTAATTAAAATATCAAGGGGTATTATCCACATAAGGTTAGGCTACAAATTATATCGGGCTAAATCCGATGACAGACGGACAGACAGAGAGACAACAGAAGTCTTATAAGGACACCCATTTTAATTTTGCGGTATGAAACCTCAAAAAAATAACGCAAGATTATTAATATTTGCAGCAGCTATATTGGACTTCATCTAAATGAACACTGCTGTGAATCATGCCGTTATTGGCATTGAGTTTAAAAGTGAAAGTTATGCACCGCAGTGTGGTCAAAAGCATGGAACAAGACGATTATCTAGCTGAACAATACCTAAGTAATGTTACCACTCACTACGCTTGTACAATTTTGTTATTTACCTAAAAAAATATATGAATTTATAAGCATTTGTATGTAGCTAAAAGAATATTACGATAAAATAAATGCTTAAAGTAATACCCATTGGGATACCCGTACACAAATATGTATAATAATATATCTCTCGGAGCGTTTTTATGAGCATATCAATACTTGTTGATCAACGTTTCTAGATAGAGATATCAAAATGGGGCATTTTAGCTTGACTATGCTGACGTACTGACAATTCTCACTCAATATAGTAGTGTTTTTTTAACCTGATACTTAATAATTTTATAAGTATTAATAAAACTTTAATCTTGTAGTACACTTAAGTCATTTTAAGATTTTCCTGAACAGAGGATGCATTACGTGTTTTAAAAAGTAAACCAGCTGAATTGAATTACCTATTCAGATTATGCCACAGAACATTAGCCCTTAATTATAGACAATAGAATTTAATTATTCCCAATTGTGAATTGACTTTTTTCACTGGAAAACGTAGTGAAAAATGTACTGAATATTGATTAGAGTATGTGTATTAAATTTGCCTCTAAAATGTAGGCTCCTATTAGTTGAGACGGTAAAGTCGATACTTCCAAACATGTAGGTTTCACATTTTGAACGAGCGCGGGATAGATTTCCCATAACGCCGACTTACAAGCAGACGAATTCATAGATGACAATCAGGATAACAGGAGAACCAAAACTATTAGGTTATACTGTAAGTGATTATCAGCACATCTTTCTTTGATAAGTCACCTAAACGTGAAACGTCAAAAATCGATTTATGCGAGACTATTAACTAATAAAACGTTATCCGATAAGTCAAGTATTAGCCCTGCAATTCTGTAAAAATCCGAACCCGAATACGTAGTCACTCAGGTGTCCGGAATTCCTTTCAAAAGCGGCATCCGCTCAACCTTGAATTGGTAATAACATTTCGTCGCATAAGTGAAGTGAATTTAGAAATGACATAGTGATAGAATATCTGAGACACGTGTAATCAATTAATTTTATTTTTATACAAGAAAGGAATCAATAGAATTTATACACTAAATTACGTGAATTCGGACACATGAGTGAATTCGAATTCTGTTCGGCTTTCTACGGAATCGCTCCCCAGTTTAAGCTACTAGATCAGTGATTCCACATTCAACGGGGGTCTACGTTGGCGTGAAATAAAAATAGAGGTTCAATTTCCATCGTTAGATCTTCACATTTTGGACCAATTTTGGGAATATGGTAAAAATGTAGCAGCAGGAAGTCCAAGATGGTCTACAAGAAAAAATTGTTTGGGAACCTCTGTTCTAGACTGTCACTCTGAAATATCACTAACATGACGGTAGTGTGACCATGCAATTTGAACGACTTGATAAACAATGACAACATATGTAATAGAATATAATAATAATATTTTGACAAAGATTATGTAAGTGATCGGGACAAAAATCTGCAAGAGCTTTCTAAAGCTTGATATTTTATTATGTTGTACTTTACATTGCCTCTCCAGCTGCCACCAAGTTTTCCAGCGCTTGACGTTCGCACTGGGTATTGAATGATGTATACCCTTAGAACTTTAACATACATATTGAAATATCAAGCTTTAGAAAGTTCTTTTACATTTTTGTCACGAGCTGTTTTGATACGAGCTTTGTACATTAACTCGAATATTCATATTCAAAATAAATAAATATTTATTCGTAATTTGTACGTGTAAGTAGAGGCTGATAACTATAATGACGATATAAGCGCATTGGTCTGCGATGCGGAGAAGCAATTTTCGTAAGGTCCAGTCTTTACCAAAAATTAGGTAAATTACCGAATAGGTAACCAAAAATTTATTATCTGGAGTTCCTGTGTTTCGTAAGGCATTTTAAGCCGTAATGGCGCCATTTTTATCCCATCTGTACCACCCACCCAGGCACCCACAACCCATCAATCGGTACTGAGCTCGCGTGGTTGGTTGTGGCCAGTATAAGGGGACCTATACAATTCTATTCCACAGCAGTGGATACTTAAATAGGTGGGTACCTACATCAGGCGATGATGACGTTAAGAGATTCCAAATTTCATAGTCTGACCCATCGGCGTTTTCCATGTCTGTCATTTACTGGCTGTATTAAAGGGACTGCGTTCAAAAGCTTCATGAGCTTATTGAGGCTTCACTATTATACCATCAGCAACCTAGATGTATGGCAGGATATCATTCTGATTTGGTGAATAATACTAACCACTGCACAAAGCACTTTCAGTGTTAAAAAGTTACAATCAAAGGCCAATCAGCTTTAGCGCTAGGAGACGACCACTCATAATCGTGGTCAAATCATAAGAAATTAATTTTGATAATAATAGATACAAAGTCTTATATTAAATTGGTTTAATTTTGAAAATACTTATATACAATTTATATTGGGACAAAAATATATAAAAACATTGTCAGCCAGTTGCACAAACTTTCATTAAAATTTTCATTTTTTTTTTATTTTTATTAAAAGGAGGGCAAATGACTGCGCTCCACCTGATGGTAAGCGGAGGCGTAGTCCAAACGCGAGGACAGCTAGTGAAAACAGTACGTAGGTACTGCACTAGCCACCCTCACCTTGCCGACCTGCAAGGTGCTTCTTCACGCCCCGCTTGAAGGACCCTATGTCAAAGGAAGGAGGGAATACATGGGCCGGGAGACAATTCCATTTTTTGGAAGTACGACAAAGAAATGAGTCGCCAAATTTCTTTGTTATTTCATTAGTTTAAAGCGACAGTACCCATACAAATTTGACAATCATTAATACTTAAAGACGTCATTAAACCTTAATGGATGTTTGTGCAACTGGCCGTATAACTATTATAATTAGTAGTCCACCTAGTAACCCCGTGACCACCCCGTGAATCAAATCTATTTTACCGAGAGATTTAAGCTAGCATGATGAACTCGAGAAACGTTTTATCTAAATAGAAATGTCACTTTTTTTATGTACGCCCAAACCATATCTCTCTATTCATTCCAAGGCGAGTGTGAATAAACTCCTTCCTGGGTATGCTCGTCCCAGCGTATCTCAGATTTTGCGTATGTTAGCTTTTATCTCATATGCCTCTAGGCATATTAGCAATGACATCACGAATAATTTTTAAGGACACCAATTTCAGAATACCAAAAACAGGACAGTTTTATTCATAACGGAACGCATGGTCATGTTAGTATAGATCACTTTGTACAGTTAAACAATACCTAACCGCAACTATTGAGTTCATTCACATAATGAAAAACTTAATTCAACCATATCACTGCTTAATACTTCAAGATTACTCATTTGTGTCTACTAGTACTGCCAGTCATTCCATGTATTATTAAGTTAACCTACTTATTTTAATGTGGGTTAGTTCCAAAGAAAAACATAGTGTCTGTACAGTCGAACGGCATTTACGTCACTGTCACACAAACGCGAAATGTATCACATATTGGCATAAATGCACTTGCTATCAGGCGCCCAGTAAAACTTTTTCTGACACCAATCAATATAATGTACGCATTACCATGATATGTTACTGCTACTGTAACTATGGATGGATATTACTGTTCTTGTGACACTCCATACAAAACCATTTCAAATATTATCACATAATATAATATAACAAACTCACTATTTTCTATGCATTTATGATGTGACTGAAGGCTGGCTGAAGGAATTTAAAGTTTTTATACATTTTGATTGAATTTTTATTCTCTCATTTACAACATTCAACACTTGTCAATTTAACATGACAGTAAACCTAAGCATTCCTGATTTGTAATAAAAAATTATAGTTATTATTGCTACCCATAAAAATAGTTTTTTTTTAAGACATCACATGACTCATTAGGTACATTTTGTTATTGAAAAAAAAATATACAGTTTTAATAGTGTTATAGGAATATTTAATTGTGTATTTATAAATAAAGAATGTGTTTCCAATTTACACATTGCTATTATTAATATATTCCAATTATACATACATATTAGGGTCATCCAAGGAGCTGCACAAGATAGATACATATATAATCTAGTCACTGAATGTAAAAATAGTGCCTTACCTCTTAATTTCTGTAAAACTACTTGGACAAACAAATTTTTGGACAAACAATTTTAAATTAAGGTCATCTTACCATCCACTTCAAACGTGACTTAGTGGCAAGTTGCGATTTTTATTTGTGATTTTTAAGTGGTGAAAACTACCCCTTAACTTAAAAAAACAAAATTAATATATTAAACCATTGAAAAGACTGTAGTTATATTTAAATAATATGTATTATTCATATGATAAAGCAAATATTTAGATAGTTCTAAAAGAAAATAAAAAACTTTTTATTTCTTGTCTTAAATAGAAAACTTATATTCTCAAAGTATACACAATCTCACAGTCCTTATAAGGTCTATGGAAAAAAAATTCAAGAACATGAAAGTGCTTTGGTGGTGGAATTATAAAAAAAATTAACTGGTGAATCAAACTACAGTGATTTTTATGAAATTAACAAACATTATATAAATAACCATGAAAGCTTAAAACAAAACATTGATTACTTAACATTGATTCAAGAATTTCTTATGTGATAATATTTTTAACAGACTTCAAAAGAAGGAAGAGGAAGAAAAGGAGGTTCTCAGTTTAACCTATATTTACATTAATTTAAAGCAAAACTGCCAAACAATAAAAGTGAACTATTCTAGTAGAAATAAAAATTACTCGATTTAAATCCATAGTTGTATGGGGGTACAAAAATTTACTTTTTGATATGAATTGAAAATCACATGTGCAATTAATTTAAATTACATGTTGATATTTTTAAAAGTTTAAAAATGTAAAGATTTTTTTGATTAATATGAAACTATCAATATTTATTTGTAGTTTCACATAGAAAATAAACTGTTAGTAGGTGTTTATCAACAAAGATCTCTTTTATATATATATATTTTGATTACTGGGGTTATTTTTAGTTTTTGACCCGAAGATATGGTGGCATTCACTTCCAGGGTAAACGGGCTTTTTGCCACTAAGTCAGGTTTGTTATTTATATCATTTTAGAGCTACTGTCCAAATTCCAAAATTTTCCATGCAGTTTTACAGAAAATGAATGACTGGACTAATTAGGCCGAGAATTTTTTTTTTTTTTTAGAAATGTCGTTTCAATGTAAATGTGAAGTTTGTGTTCATTATTTCCACAAATTGACTATGATGGACAATTCAAAAACTATTGTGTAATAGGTATCAACTTCAATTAAAGAATTCTAAAATAAATTGAATCTACATATTTAATAAGTCTACAATAATGTTAATTTATATATTGTGATTTTTGCTTTAATATTTAAGATTTCAATCTACATAATATTTCTATTTCATATTGTTCATTTAGAATAAGACTATAAGAATGTTTCTCTCTATTCATCGCTATTTCTGAACTCCTGGATTCGACATCAGTGTCGCAGTTCCTTCATTTCTTAATATTTTGATAATACAAATGCTAAAAACTATATTATTTGGTATCAGAGCAATGTAAGTGATGTAGTCTAATATTTATATTTAAAATTAGTAATAAAATACTAGCTTTCCACCAGCAGCTTCGCCCGCGTGTCCATAGGGAACTGGTAAGTGGGATAAATATTAGCCTAAATATTAATCCACACTTAGAATTATCTATTAAAATCCATTCAGCAGAAGTAACAAACATCAAAACTTACAAACTTTTTGGCTTTATAACATTAGTAAGATTTAATTATAGACAGAAATAAAGAGATTTAATACATACTAAATTTATTTTTCCACTTCCTGTTGAATATTTTTATTATCTAACATGAAATAGGACATATTTTAAGGTACTTAAATAAGGTTAACAGGTTACAGACATGAAATATGAAAGAGAAACAATGGAAAAAAGTTTATTGGTTAAATCAAGTTTAAGTAAAACAAGCAAGAAAATATAATAATCCCAAATTATTGGTAAATCTCAAGTAAAATAAATTGGGACCAATGCAGTTTAAAAACAGGAGAATTAAGTCTCAAAACTTAATCCTTATTAGTTTACTTGTATAAAATGGGAAAAAAATAATGCATTCCTTTATTTCAATAACATCATAATAATTCTGTTTATATTTTCATTATATTGAGACAATTCCTTTTTATTGATTTTCAGGTGAAATTAATGATATTTACACTTAAGTTTTCAGGTAATATTTTATAGTCACTTAGTATTCAATAGTTGTTTAAAACCACAAACTTATCATAAGGTACCTTTTTATCTTTATTATTATTATTTTAATAATATGAAATTTTGTTATAGGTTTGGATGTAGGTAATTTCTTTATGGTATGTCTAAACCATACCATAAAGAATTTACCTACATACAAAATATAAATATAAAGCAATTCAATGCCAATCAGCATGTATAAAGAAATCTTTTTACCATAAGAAAACTTTACTGAAAGTTTCTTGTATTATGTTCATTTTCTCTTATTGTAGGATAGGACTGTCAAGGAATGCAATGGAATATTTGTGTAAAGATGTGTGTCGTTATGCCACTCATTTATCACTGCCTACCCCACAATAGATCTGCATGGAAGATACAGATAGGTGGTAGAGAAGCAATTATAATTATTCATTATTTTCCCACAAAGGTGTAATGACCTTAAAGGCATTATTACTCATGTGGCTCAAATAACATAAGTTAATGATGATTCACTGATTGATCACTGTAAACCAACCATTACACTTTTTTCAGAATCTTTTATATATATAAATTTAAATGAAACAGGAAAATAAGTGATTTGTATGTTGATTCAAAATCCTGTATGAGTACTATAAAAATCAAACCTATATTTTAAAGTGGACTATGTTATGATATATTTAAATATTTTTCAGCAAAATACAAAAACTAATGGTTGAATATTGACAAAAGGTGGCTGAAGACTGGTCATGTCAATGTAATTATGGCATGTCATAACAGCATTTATTGATGTTTCTTTTACTATACTACGAAAAAACAAAAAAATTGACATAATGTTATCAAAACACCTTTGAACTAATATTTGGAATCAGGTAAATGCAATGGGAAAATTATTGAAAGACCATTGAAATGGCACTATTATGGTAACAGCAGAATCAAGGTTCTACACTCATTTATCAAGGAAAAGTATGTATCTATACTGTTGTAGGCAATGAGGAAGATTCCACTAAAGAGTCCAAGCACTGGAGATCAATTCTCTCTACCTATGACAAGCAATTATGACTTTATATTTGTGTTGAGTCTACCAAAGTATGGAATAGGTAATCACTTTTGTATTTTAATCCTATTGTTTTAGAAGCTAAAAAGCTAATTTTGACCATTTAACAAGCCTTAAGAGGTGAACAAATGAATCCATGCAGCTTATCAGGCTTTTTTAACTCAGTTATATTTAATATTTAATTGAAATTTTACAGTAACTTACGTAGAAGTTCTTTTATCGTCACTTTGACGTTCTTTATCCTTGTTGCTCTCACGTTTGTTCATAATACTAGAGGTATTGTGCAGGCTCCTAGCCTGACACTCCTATCACTCTGAGAGCCCACCAGTGGAGGCCGCAGCAAAGCAGCCCATGTCACAGCCTCGAAGATGGCACGCGGAGTTCGCCACTCCCCATGCCACAATCCAAATAACACCAACACAAATAGTCACTGCTATTGCGTAAAATTTTTGGGTTTTTTTAACACTAAAACACTGCACTATATAAATTTATCTCAAAATCATGGTTATTTCACTAGAATAATAATTTTTGGCCATTTATTAAGTTGCTTCGGCGACTGTCACCAATGAAAGCGTCCTAATTTAAAACGAAATACCAAATTCACGTATTTTCTTATAAAAGGGAACGAGACAGGATAGAGGTCGTCGTGCCAATGTTATGTTCATTCAAGAGTAACAACAAGCGTTGTGGGTGTCACTAATAACACTTTTACCAATATCGCCACGATGTCTTCTATGTTTCACAGAATTGATCAGGTTTTCTTCAAACCAATTCACGTATGTCGTAAAATTTTTAATTTTATCAGAAAATTTAACAATGACAATTTTTTGTGAGAAGTCAACCTTAGCGGTCGACAGTAAATTTTTTGAAATAATTATTATACAATGGATTGTCAGTAAAAATAATGTTCAATAGTATAGAATCACAACAAATACCAGGTAGAAGAAGGATATGCAATTTTTAATTAGCTTTCCATGCATTAGTCACAACGTCGCCGAAACATCAAATGGACATTTGTTCTCTGATAAAAAAGTTTAGATTTTGTAATGGCCACCAATGTTACACTTTATCACTCCAAAAAAATTATGAAACCGTTTTATTTTCAAAGTACCTGAGCTAAATCAATTAACAATTTACACATTTGTATAATATATTACCGACTAAAGATAAAAATTTCTTATTTAAAAAACTGTAACTCAAAGATATTCACTGTAAATCGCCATTCGGCGCATGCGCAAACTTGCAGCAATTGGTGTTGTCAAGTAATAAATTAATAACAAAATCGAGAAATCGTTACAAATATTTTTTAATTTATACAGAATTTTTTGAAACAAATTCAATAAAATGACATCTAATATAAATTAAACCTCTTTTCCAGAAGTATATTCACCTTGCTTAAAAATAATAAGAATTCTTTAGATTCAGTGGTAAAAATGGTATATTTACAGAATAATTGCTGGCAACACTGTTTTAAAAAATAAGATGCCTTCAAAGAACATAGATGGAGGATGCATTCGTAGCTTCGTAGAAAGAGCCCTCTGTTTACGGATGCGTTCAAAAAATAATAAATCAAAGTTTATAGAATTTTAGCCATAGATTATTGTTTTAAGCCTGGTATCGACTAGCAACGCGCCGACCCCACAGGGCACCGTCACTTAGGGGGCACCAAAAACGGCTATACAAACCATGTTCTGTCGAACTTCCCGAACACTGATCAACTATCAGTCCCTATAACAGTAGCCAAAAGCGAGCCAAGCTTCAGTAAATTGATCAAATACAATAATTAGAACAAATTCTCATCTTTATCGAAAGTTTGAAGATGATGACAGAGAGAAAAAGATGCCTAAACATTGATGAGAATACGCTCTGTAATAGCGAAAAGTAACAAGTACTTGAAAGATTCATCGATCCTGTTAGGTCCTGTGTAGATCAGTGGTTAGATTTTTGACCGACTTGAAAATCCAAAAGGAGTAGGATATATGTTTGACAGCGATCTATGTTTTTTGTATGTATGTTCCACGCACGATGTCTTCGTTCGTCAATAGTAGACTAATTTTAATGATTCCTTTTTTAATACTTCCTCATTAAAACGAACTTTATTTTTGGAAGGAACATAAAATCTTCCATTACCTAAAAAAAATAAGCTAGAACCACTATTAGATTAAATTTATATGCTTAAATTAAAATTACTAGTATCTTCTTTTTTTTTAGTTTAGTTAACTCAACCATTTGTTAAAATCTTTGACAATTGGTTAAATAACAATGGTTAAAAAAATAAATGACTAAGGCTCTTAGGGCCAGTTTTTTGATCCATGGTTAACTCAACCATTTGTTAAAATCTGTGACAAATGGTTAAATTACAGAAAAATATGTTTTTTGATAAATAGTTAGCCTAACCAATTGTCAAAATTACAACCATTGGTCAAAAATTTAACCATCACTGGAAGCTAGGTTAAGTAAATGACCAATGGTTAAAATGATAAATAGTTAAAAGAACAGATGTACAACTGCGTTGTATTTAGTTGGTCCCTTGTTATTGTTTTTTACGTTGTTTTATAACCTACATGATTTAATAGTGAATTTGGACATTAACTATTTTTATTGAAAAGAAGTTATAATTTTATCTTGATCACCCTTAGTATATTTGTACTATATAAAATATTTTTTCTTGTTTCCACGGGCATATGCCAAATTATTAAATTATTAAAAATCTTATAAAATCCAAGAATAGACAATAGAAAAAGTAAATACAGTACATAAAATTCATAGTCCTCGATTTATTTTCCAACATCGCAATCCCACCTTGGATACTAGATAGACAAGATATTCTTTTCACGTATTTCTCTATAAGATAAATAAAAAATAAATACATGCTTTTTATAAAAAAGTTAAGTTTAAAATAACTGGAAAAAGATATATTTGTTGCTTCCTAACATTATTAAAGAAATTGCCTTATATTTCCTGAAAAATAACACACAGTGTACACAACAGAACAACCATAAACATCCACACTGTTTGATGTCTTTCGTCTATTTGATATTTGGAATAAAATCCTTATGTCAAAAATGGTATATAGTTCGATCCGTTCATTCAAACCGTGACTAGTAAAATCGAATAAAACGTAACTTGATGAAACATGTGTTATTTTGTTTGCCTATACAACTAGAACAAAGAAAGACATTAAATATATTTTTAAAAGCTAGGGGTATCGAGTAATTGTGTAATATGTTTTTGAGGTTATGTCGTATTATTTAAACTGTAGCATTTTAAGTTAGAAGTATTACAGTTGAAATATGTAAAGCACACGTCAGATAATGCCTAATCGTGGTCCTAGAAGTGCATACTTTCACATAATGCTTCAAACTTGCTTCATATCTGATACATTATTTTTATTGACTATAAGAAATAACATCATTTTTTGTGAACCAATGAACATCAAAAAAATAATAGAATTTTTAAGATTGCTCTCGATAACTCTAGTTTTCCATCTTACACTCTAACTTATATAAAGTAGTAGTGAAAATACTAATTTCAAAAGGATATAGCAAAACAACATGTTGATTTTTCTTTTCTTTATTACAACTCTAATGAATACCTCATCACGGAATGCTGCAGGAGCAGCTACATTCTGATCATGTCTGGCCCATCCAAGATGCCCATCCAACTATGGTAATTATATGAGCACAGCATCCAAGTATACATCGACCAATAAAACAATTACAGCAGTGTTCTCTTATGCCATCTAACCCGGATGTGACATTATTTATTTAAATGTATACATAATATTGTTTCCTCCCAATGTCTCGACTTAATTTTATCCCTTATAATAAGGACTTTATTTATATTTCAGTCTAATTCCATTATAATCCAGAGAATTCGGTATTTCTCTACAGACCTCAATTCTATACTGCCCATAGAACCTAGTATGCTCCCCATAATACAGAAGATAATACAAAATCGCCACCAAAGTTACAAAACGGTCTGCGTAGATTCACGTCTACACATAGGCACTTGTCTAAAAAAGGGAGGTCGCAATTGATTGAATACTGTAATATTGATTCTTATGAATAATCATTAGTTTTTAATTTCATTATAAATAAACTATTTTCCTCTAGGTAACATCTAATTAAATTAGTAATCTAATCTAATCTAAGTTTTATAATTTTCATGGATTTATATGGTTAGTAAATAATATAAGATTTGTATCAAATTAAGTCAGAAATAAAATCGATCTTGTTCTTTGAAAAGAGAGGGACTTCTCTAGGAATGACATTATTATTAAGATGCGTTCAAAAATAGCATAATTTGAACTGCGTTCTAAAAAATAAAGACATATTTTAGAGAGGAATATCTTTCTTTTCCCAGCTTTTAAAAAGAAATTGTTGGTATATAATAATTACATTCAACTTATACTACATTTTGGTAATAGTTCCATCTTGGTACAAGAACTTTTTTTTCGTAGTCCATTTTGACCATTGTTCTTTGGCTATGGTTTAATTTGGCATCAAAAAACGAAATAGCGAGTTAACAACTTGTTAATGTTTTAACTATAGTCAATTTAACAAATAGTGAAATGACATTTGACTACAGATCAAAAAACTGGCCCTTGGTCTGTGGTTCATCTTCTTTTTTAATTAATGGCTTATCTGCGTTGTCTGTGGTTACTAGTAACATGGAAAAAGGCGCTGACTTCTGTCATTCAGGTTATACCCTAGCACAGAGGTCAGTGACTTCAAATTGTCTGTTGCGTATTTAAATAATAATACATTTATTATAATTACAATACAAATCTGATGAAGTACGGGATCTTCCCTTTACCCACATGCATAATAAAGAGTGTTTTTCAATGACTTTAAGGAAAAAATAACGCACAAAAAAAAAGCACCTCACTGGATGGCGACTCTAGCAAAAGTTAAGTTTTGCAGAAAACGAATGGACCAAATTTAGTCACTTCCATTCCTTTTAACTAACATATACAAAAAATCTAATTTGCAAAGTTGGAAACTTAGATATCAATACAAATACGAAAAAGTACAAATAGAATATGACTAGCTTTTCCCCGACTTCTTCCGCGTGGTAAAGTTACTTTGAGCAGCATTTCTAACGAATATTTATTCATTATATCGTGTAAAATACCTGAAAAAAAGTCTTGTCCTCTTAGCTTATGCCCTTAGAGGTGGAATTTATCAAAATCCTTTCTTAGGGGATGCTTGCGTCATAGTAGCTTTATGCATGCAAAGTCTCAGCCCTTAAAATTGAAAAAGTTTCATACAAACCTTCATCCCCTATTTCTCCTTGAGGATAGAATTGATCATAATCCTTTCTTGGCAGATGCCTACGTCATAACATCTACCTGTATGCCAAATTTCAACCCGATCCGTCCAGTGGTTTGGGCTGTGCGTTGATAGATCACTATATCAGTCAGTCACCTTTGAGTTAGTCACCCGCGGTAAAAAGTAGCCTATGTCCTTTCTCGGGTATTAAAATATCTCCATACCAAATTTCATTCAAATCAGTTCAGTGGTTTCAGGCGTGGTTAAGTAACAGACAGACAGAGTTACTTTCGCATTTATAATATTAGTATGGATTTGTTTATTGAGTTGTGAAAACTAATTTACTTTTATACATGAAAGAAAACCGAAAGGGTTGCCATTTAGAAATCAACATCAAATTGAAATCGTAGCGACATCTAGTTTGATTTTGGGAACAATTTTTTTTTAAACACTTCCAAATATTATACTACAATAAAACGATTTATTAGTGTAGGAGAAGATAATGAAGACATTTTCCTACGTCGCCAAAATGAAGGCTCATTGATCATTGATATGGCGGAAGCTACAGCCCTTGTCACGTATATTACGACCGTGAGTTACAGTGTCATTATTAAACCTATTTCTATTGTTCTTATCTACGGTACATAGATTTTTATTGTCTATGATTTGGATTTATAGACTAAAGTTGGTACTAGGATCCGAGTTGGTGTTGGTCAAGAATATCTTTAGTTTTGTGTTAGTAATACTACGGTATACTCTTTGCACCGCGCGAAATTTTAAAATGAAGGCATACGTAGTGAACAAGTTTTTTTGCACGAATCTGTAGAATTTGGATTCTGTTCCACGATTAAATATTATTCAGTCAAAGGTTTCGTTACTTGATTAGTTTTTTGAACCTTTTTTGAAATCAGGACGTAGCTTTTAAAAAAACATTTTATTTTGTGGTTTTATATGTTTGTCTATCTCATATCTACTTGTCAATGATATATACCTATACGCATACATAACAAAAAGACTACTACAACTTAGATGTTTGTATTGGCAAAAAGTGCTAGTTTTATCGAACTGCTATTAACTGCTCATTAAAAATATTAAAATCGGAAACGAAAACCTATTTAAGTGACATTCATAATAGTTAAAGTACGGTTTGAGATGTGCTTAACTTTAAATTCGTTTAGGTAGTAATAGTAGTAGTAGTAGTAGTAAACAAGTAGTATACCCAAGTAAACAATATAAGTATATTAAGTTTTTGCTGTAAATAAACCGCCATAATATAACATCTTGAAACCGGTGATTATTTGTTTGCTTTGAATTTAATAGGAATAGGAAACTACTGGACCAATTTTAAACCTTTTTTCACCACCTTGTTTGTTTATTTGTATATCGATTCATATCATGAAGGTTTGTCTCCTTCATAATATGAATCGATATACAACTAAACATCCAGAACCATGCGGGCAAAGCCGCTGGTGGGCTAAACAAGTTTTTTCAGTAAATGTCTAGATAGGCACATTTATGTAAAATATTTCATTCAACGTACATGATATTGAACAGCTTATTATCAATATCATGTACCTTCTCTCTATTATAAAAATGCAACAGAGCGTAAGTAATTTTAAATTGTGATCTAATGAATTTCTCGACAAACTGACATCGTAGTAAGTCAATTAAAATTATTTAATTGGAAGAGATATTCAATTTATACATAATTACTGTTGTAAAATTAGGAAAATGCTATATAATGCAAACTTCAGTTCGGCGATATTGCTCGTTCGTGGACCGAAAGGATGCTCAAAGGAGTTTTTGAGGATGCCATATAAATATGTTTTTGAAACACATAACATGTAACCTATTAAAATTTGATATATGTTTACAAAATTTATTGATTACTAGCTATTTTTGCGCGATTTCACCCGAACTTCTTCAGCCGATATCACCCACGCATGATGTTACAACTTTCATTACAACAGCTAGTAACAAATGCACAAATAATAAAGATATAAACGGTAGCACCGTGTGACGTCACTTAGTGCATTGAATTTGTAGGGAGCGTAGCAGCAGTTCTACCCCGCGGACTTATTGCGGATTGGTGGGTATTAATGACCGCAGCTGCAGTCGGGACCAACACCACGGAGGAGCTCGAGATGATTCATTTTTGAACACCCATCCTATAAATGGCCATTGCGAAAGTTGCTTAACAACCGTATTGCAGACCGACTTCGTAAATCACTGCGCCATCTAGTTCCTCAGCGACTAAAAACAGCGACTAAATTGCCTGATAAAAATCATTACCATCTCATTACATTCTTAATTACATTCACGTTATTACGACAACTGTTGTTCTAGTGTTGATAGCGATCCGAAAAATGTTTTTCTTCTTCTTTTTAATTAATGGCGTTATGTTTGATTAAACCTAAGTGTGTAGCAAAGAGTAATGTTGGTGTGCAGTAAACTCTGACATGATATGCTCTTGCTCTCTGACTCTGCAGGCATGCGCAGTGTTGGGGAGTGCGATATAACCTTATTTTGAATTAAATATTTGTTTCTTGTTTTCCAACAGCAGTTACCTATTCTCCGCTAAAGTGCGCGCCTTGGTAATACTGGCACTATCAAAATAAAAGCTCATCAGTGTTTTATTCTTTCCTTATTGGCAGGTATACCTATTGTTCATTCGCATAGGAGTCTGGAAAGGCAATGGAACATGTGAGAAACCCAGGTATGTTTTTGAGCCTGGGGAGTAAACATCGTTACCGTGTTTAAGACAATATAAGAAAATAACTTTATATAAATATATGGTACTGATAAAAGTATGGATACTCTGTCATGCTAAGACATAAATGCTGATTAAATAGAATAGATTTTATATTTAATCTTAATTTATTTTTAGTTGACCCCTACGACTATACTACGATTCTCCATAAGTCTCAACGGCCTGCGGTTTAGACTGTGTGTTGTCTGTTAATAGTCTCTCAGATTATATATTCTAATATTAATAAGAGGAAAGATTTGATATTAATTTGCACCGAACAGGGTCCGAAACTATTGGACCAATTTCAAAATTCTTTCACCTACTAGAAGCTACATCATACCCGGTTGATATAGGCTATTAATTTGTGTGGACAAAGTCGCGAGAAAACGGCTAGGTTAATATAGACAAGTGAAGTGAAGAGAGATTACTAGAAACCTGCTTTTGGGTATTAATAGATGAAATATATATTAGATGATAGTTTAACAAATTACATGTCATCTCATTGCAAAAAAAAAAACTATCATTGTTATGCTAAAATGTTCTGAATTAATACTTTGAAGCTTTAATAAAAATATAGGTAGTCGCATAAGAAGTAGTATATGAGTGTTTCTCGAATTATAAATTTAATATTTTTCATCGTCTATAGAACGCATGTAACTCCTGCGTAGTTACTCATATTTCTCGTGCAACACAACCGAGCGGTTTTATTTGAATGTGAAGGCCACCAGCCAGTCGTGATCAGTCAGTAGTCAGGTCTAGTTGTGTCAATATGTAAATTATAATTAGACAAACCTAAAAGTTAGCGGATATTGTGTCATTCAACAGCTTCGAAAAAGCCATATTTTCATGTGAGTGTCTTTTGCGGAGTGCAATTTATATAATTCCATTTTTAGTCCTGTTAAAAAAATGTTACCGCCTTTTTAAGTTGCTTAAGGACAGGTAAACTAGTTCTTTTTGTTCTTTGTATTTAAACGATTTTTAATTTAATTTACAATTTTGTAAAGTCGATTTACATTTAAATACTAGTTGACCTAGATATCTTTTTACTAATTTTGTACTCGAAACTTTAATATGACGTAAGTTATTTCACTTACTTATAATAAAATTATGTTTATCACCTAGTCTATATTAGTACCTAAACCTTATAGACAACGATAAGGTGCGATAATCTATTCAAGATATAGGTGTGATTTATTTACTAATAACATTATTAAGTGAATACCAATAATTATTTGAAGGTTCAGAAAATTAGATTTTTTATTTGTTACTATTTTGCTATTCTTTGCTTGATGACCTTTGTAAGTATCTATCTGACATTATTAGGATATTGTTTGAAACAGGAAATCTGCTTATCAACCGACTTCCAAAAAAGGAGCAGGTTCTCAATTCGACTGTATGTTTTTTTTTATGTATATTGTTACGCGATTTCTCCGCCAATTATTAATCGATTTTCAAAATTCTTTTTATTTGACAGTTTATTGGACAAAGTGGTTTCATTTAAATTTTATCGATCGAAATTGAATCGGTTTCCTTTTTATAACAAAACAAAATATGCCTTTCCGCAGATATCACCTAATATAATATGTTGATGTCAATGATATTACAATAAAAAAGGGTAGATTGGTTATCTCAATACTAATATGATGTCAAAAAGTGTCCCCAGTATACACGCACGTACATGGCACGATACTCTCCAATTATTCTTCATAGACTATAATTGAATATTGCACAGACCAGACGTATAATGATTTAATGCATGTTTAATGCCTACTTTTACCTAAACGAGTTAAAGACTACGATCAACAGTTCAACTTAAAAATATTGATGTCTAACATTACTCTATTATTTAGATCCTTGTCGTTAGAGTATATATATTTGCCCTTGTATAAATAATGAAGCTTTTCAAGCTTATATATATATATATATCACATATTAATATATAGACTATATATGAATGTCAGGTTTATTTTATTCTTTTTACGAAATGACAAAAAAACTTTACGAAATTTGGCACACTTATAGTTTATATGTAGGAGAAGTGCGAACGGCTAATATTTTTCAATAAAAATGCTTATAAAGTACACTAAATCGATAAATAAAACATTACACACATTACTATGCATTTGACACACCTACACGCATACATGTACTCTGTTGTTAAATTGTTTCTTTTGACATAGAGTTTGTTTCTTTTGAATATTGGATTCAAACAGTTTGTGCATTTGGTCTTACTGAATGTCAAAAGATTTTCGATTTCAGTAATTTCATATACTTACAGAAAAAAGAAGTGATTTTGAGTGATAAGTACAATGCAATGCAATGTACAAATGTGCTATCATTCTATATTTCACGAAAGTTCTATAGCAGTAATCTGAATGAAAAATTTCATAATACAGGTAAAAATGTAAATCTGTTATTGCTGGTTCAAAGATCTTTTGTATTTTTTATTGTGGAGGCTAAACAAATCTTTTTCTGCGAAATCTATGGTTATAGTAGGTAGTAATATAGTCTTTTATAATAGAACCTTAATAATGTTTGAACATTATATTTTAATAAATTATGTTAAATAACTTCTAAGTGAAATTTATTATAGTCGAATTTCGACCACTGGGCGACCACTAGTATGTATAATAACACGAGGGCTTCGATCGAAATCGGAATCGTCGTATTTTTTAGTTCCAAAGTTAGGTTTCGATGCTCCGAATTCAAACACCGGAGTTTTGGTGTTTCAGTCTCATATAGATTTTTAAATGTAGGGTTGAGCGTAGGCAATAAACTCGAATTGTCCGTTCTGTCACATAATCTTTGACCGATCTCTTATACAGTTTGTTACCGGAGTATTTACTCTTTCTTTATATGACATAATATTTATTTTTCTGATTAAAATGTGAATCAGTTAAAAATGTATACTTACAAATGAAATGAGACACCTTGATCTTTAGTCGGTTTATTTATGTAGTTTCTACAGTTTTGCATAACACAGGATGGCGTTTTAAAAATGAATATAGTACATAAACGCACATAATCAATGCTTTCGCCAGATTGCGTTAAGATTTGCTAATTAGCATAGTTTTAAGGTGACACTTTTTGAATGTAAGTAACCTATCTACTCTTTTTTATTGTAATATCATTGGTTGATATCATTTTAATATCAGCGAAAAAAAGGAAAAGATTTCTATGTTCAATACGAGTATTAGAATAATATCCTTTTTATACATCGATTATATTATTTTTTATGTAAATCTGTATGTTTACCGATTTCTTCATGATTACGTCGTGCAAATAAATAAAAATTTCGGGCCTTTCGTTGTAACTATAATTTATAAAAAAATAATATTTTAGTGATACCTATACAAAATATTTATATGTATAAAGTACCGATATAAGTATCACTAAAAATCATGTAATAAATTTTTTTTTTATCACTTTATTAAAATTTGAAGACGGTTTTATTTTTTGAAAAACGTTTTTATTTTTATATTAGAGTCAAAGTGTTTAGGGTAACTGACAACAACTGATTTGTACTAATCAATATTACATTTGAAGACTAATTCCATTTATTCAAAAAGGACGATTTCAAAGAAACACATTTTTCGATAATCGATGCATAATACAACGGAGGTACTTGGAGCTGGGGCCAACCGCCCAACTCTCTAGCCATGATTCAACATCTGTAAGATGTCGTAGCTATAGGATACGATATCTTATGGCGATATATCATTTCATTTTACACATGTACTTTTAGTAACGACTTGATAGCAGTGTTACCAATTTAGTCATTATCAGAGGTCGGAATTAGGTAGAGTTATTTATGTACTTGCATCGAAATGTTGATATTAATGTGGACCTTCCCGGGATTTCTAATGGAAAATCTTGGACATCTTTGGACATCCGATGTCATTGATGTAAGTTTGGCAACGTCGTGCGTGCAGTAGTTTAAATTGTGTAAAAGTAAATAAATGTTTATTTAAAAAAATCACGGGATTTTTCTGCTCTTTAAAATTAATCTCGGGATTTGAGGCATATCCACTTTATTCTTTCGCTGTATGAAATCAGTGTAAGTACATGAATAACTACCTAATTCCGACCACTGGTCATTATCCACCAAACAACATGTTAAAGTAGTAACATGAAATAAAATATCGTCGGACATCGCTAAGATGTCGTATCCTATGGCTAGAATCAAGACTAGAGAATTAGGCGGTCGCTATACTGATACCGGTGTACAGGTAATTATTACAAATATGATTTTAATAAAATTATAACGACGATTCGAAATTTTATAGCATAGGCCCTCAGGTGTCATATTAGTTCATAGTAGTTATACTTAAATAGTTATGTATATAATAATGAAATCAGCTGAAAAACTAAAGATATATTTTTTCAAGGAGAGAGACGTAACGAAAATATTATTTTATATTATAGGTAGGTTCCAATGAGGATGTATAAAAATAAATTGTCCTAATTAGTGAGCGCAATCCCATTAAGTACAGAATTAATTTTCTTAAAAAGATATTCAAATAGGTAGCATAATTTTTTAGGTGCAAGAGTCTTTTTTATTCTAGTAAAAGGTACTTATCGACTGTAATTATCGATTTGTGCATTAATTTTTTTAAAGATTTAGATAAGTTTGCATTAAAAAGCTTCATGAGGATTTCCAATACGTTTATATTTAGATTACATTTCAAAATTGTCTTTTATGGAAGCTTTTAGTGCAAATTTTCTCATAATGTGAAATTGCTCATATTTCGCTAAATAGTAGGAGTTAAAGTCAAAACGCATTAAACTAAGTTTTATTTTAGTAAAGGCTTAGGCCGATAAGTTTTCGATTCTTAATAAGGTACCATCGTCAAAAAAGTTGGAGAACCTCTGTTTCATTGGGACAAAAACGTCTTCTTTAGCAATTTGGATTGGTAAAACATTGTAGTTAGCACGCTCGGTTTGCGATGTGGAAATTAAGCTACTTTCGCAAGTCGATCATAGAACGTGTGGCCGAAATTGACTTTCTTGAAATCCTCCGTTTTTAGAAAACACATTAAGCCTTTGGTTCCAGCTGCGTTTGCAGTCGTTAACACCCACCAATCCGCAATTGCTCGTCTGCCCCCTATCCCATAAAAAAAAATAATCTTAGGAAGAGAAAAAAATGTAAAAAATAACAGAAATCAGAGAAATTCAATTCAGAACCTAGACAAGATTCTTTGATACACGAGACAATTTAATAGTTTTTATTAAGATAAAAAATTTAGTTGTTTGTTTCTTGATCTCCGAAACTACAGGACCGATTTTAAAGATTCTTTAATCTATGGGAAACTACATCATACATACACGCGAGTGTTATAGATCATCATTTACGCGGGTGAAGTCGCGGGGTTTTACTATATCCTTCTATAAATATTTATGAAACCACTGTGAAACTGTCCTGCGCTGGATGGGCTAAATATAAAGGCATTGTTTGACATACTGACACAGCTAAGAAATTTAAATATTTATACTTCTTAGACACACCGCCTTATTTTTTGTTAAGTCATATTTGAACTTTTTTGTGTATCCAAATTTAAATAATAAACTGGAATTTCCACTTGTTATTGTATCTGGGCATAGTGTAAAAACTTACAGTAAACCAACACCTTTGAAATTGCGTCACCGCTGCATGGCAAATATCTGTGCAGAGATGTAAGAGCAATCCTTACGATAAATTACCCAAAATAAACAGGGTAATAACTACCGTATACTAGCCACGTTGCCTGATATGTTATAAACTCTTAATTTATTCAAATCGAACATTGTGTAATATTTGCATTCTGATTATTATAAACAGTATGTATACTGGTATCAACTGGTACTGGCTCAAGAGAGTATTGACTTTCATTTTGATCCACCTTATTGAATACTTAGATATTACATAATCTAATATTAAAGATAATATGTTATACCTAATCGTAATATTAATTATTTAATAATTATTATGAATCAATCTTTTTATTATTCTTTACAATTTTCCAAGTTTTTTTATTTGGTTGAACGCACTAATATCAGGCACTACTGGTTCGAATAGAAAAGTAATTTTTGTGTTGAATAGTCCATTTATTATCGAAGGCTATATAGGCTATATAACATCGCGCTATGACTAATAATAGTGGAGCAGCAATAAAAAATGTTGCAAAAATGGGAAAACTACGCTGGCGAAGTGGAAGAAAGCTAGTTTATTGATTAAAAGAATAAACGCTCATATAGCTACGGCTTTATAGTTAGCGGGAGAGCTAGGCGGTGGCTCTGCTGATTTAATATGATTTCTTTAAAATATATTCATTCTTTAACTTAACGTAATTTAAAAATAATAGAATTCACTATTCTCTTTAACTTAATCTCTTTTATATATTGTATAAATAGGGTCGATGCGCCTGTTTCCCGCTCACCTCCTATTTTCGACCATTTAAGGGTCCTCCCTGGTAAAAAGATCAACAGTTAATATTGGTCCAAAACTTAAGCACATGGTAATGGTTACACTGATTATCCTCATATACACACACTAATACGATTAAACGAAGAATAAGCCAATGCCAACAAATAAATCTCAAGGTTACATCGAACAGCATCACATGCATCATATGTTAGCAAAAAAATATTAAAGTGCCTATATTTCGAAAGTGAGTTTCTAATTATTCTTAGGTCATTTTGATATATTTATTGTTTTTTCTGCTAGTTTATGACCTTTATTATGTTAACGAATTAGATTATAACGTAAATGTCATTGCCAAACTATTTCAATGAGGTGGTTGAATAAAAGGGCTACCTTTACTAAAATATTCAGTTTTCGACCAAGTGGTCGAAAAGTGGGAAGGCGTGTCCAAGTAAAAATACGTTGCTGCCTTTAAATGTATGAAACTTATTTAAAATCAAATTCTTCTAGTGACAATTATTAATAAATTGGTCAGTCTCGTCCAATATTTTTTTTAAATACTAAATATAACTAAAATGGATGTAAAGCTTTTAGAGCTTCCAGTTTCTGACTGTTTTTTCATCTAATTAAAAGTAGTTTTTTTTATAGGTAACTGATTTTACTTAGATACGCTTATAAAAATAAATAAAGAATCAGCCAATATTCTTATTTCTTACTATTAACAGCCTATTGTTTTTTTTAAATGTTTTATCTGATTGACTTCGACTGACTGATCAACACACAGCCTAAACCATTTGAATCTTATAGGGTGTGTTCTTTGTATGATATAGTCATTTATCTGGTAATATACAAAATACTGAAATTCTATCCCTAAAGGACAAAAAAATGGGGGAAAGATTTGTATGGGGCAAAATGATTCCTTGGTCCGACATTCTTTAACAGAATTGTAAATGAATGTGTTTCGTATTTCATTGAAAATCATAGCCTAACGAGCTTTAAAGGGGGTAAATTATGGTCAAAAAAGCAGGTGGGCAAAAACCAGTCACATCCACAGTTTCACGACAGAATTTATATATAAAAATACTATTAATCTCAGTATTAAAAATATACTATATTTGAAATAACTGCAATTTTTTGGGGACAAATTATTTGGCGGAACATTCAAATTTTTATGCTCAAAGTGGGCATCTCCACTGATTGGGAGAAAATAAGCTTATCTACCCTACTTTATGATATTATTTACAAAATATTGTACTTTACTAAGGTCCAAAGTGATGTCAGTAGTAGCGAAAAGACTAGACTCGTTCAAAGATTACAAATGGATTCTAACATATCGCCAAAGTCTGTTGTATTGTTGCTCGAAGCAAAGTCTTCTTATTTTATTAATGGCTTACCGCGTTTCGCACAATTCTGCCAATGTCAAGTGAATCATAACCAAAGTCATTATTGCTGTCTTGGCTGTCATAGTTTTATTTTCTGAACACCAAAAACAAATGTAGAAATTAATTTATTTGCTTGACATTGGCAGAATTGTGCGAAATGCGCAGATAAGCCATTAATAAAAGAAGAAGAAATCAAGGAAATTTTGAAATCTGTTTGGTTTATCTTTTTTTAATTGTTTTATTACAGTGATTATAGAAGTGAAAATGGCAGAAAGCAAGAGCCCCGAAGAGATAGAACAGCAAGTGGTGCAATTTAAAGAATGGATCGTCAATCAATCGAGTCTGCCTACAAAAGATTTAGGTGGGTAACCTCAATGATAATACAAAATAATTTAAACATTATTCTTCTTTAGCATGTGCAGTTTCCAATGTAACTAATCCTAACTAGAAAGGAAGAAGACTTAATGATCATATGATGTAAGTGTTTGTATTCTTCTTTAGTATGCGCATTTCCCTATGTTACTAAGGCTTACAAGTGAAACTTTTTTCAAAAAATCGAACCGACGTCAAACTTTAAAATGTGATAAATAATAATCTCAAAAGCAACTTATTCAAGTTAATGCTATTGAAGACGGGCGAAGGTTTTCCGTAGGTTATTAATTAAATTATAGGCACCTGACTCCAATAGCATTTTCTTGAATAAGTAGTTTTTGAGATAAGTATTTTGATCACTTTTTGAAAGTCGGTTCTATTTTTTGAAAGAGTTTTTATTTCAAACTTTGATTGATATTGATTGATTGAGGTCACGGTCTGACCACGGCCGGTGTAACCCGACCGAAACGTCTGGTAATATAGGTAGGTAAAAAACCTAACTATTAATCTATCACGTTAATACCTGAATCAAACAATCTAATATAATGCAACGCGAAAGTTTAATAGATTATTTATCATAGATAATTGCTTAGAAGTTATGTTGTGTCTTAAAAATGAAAATACAGATTTCTTAAATATTTGGAAAATGTGAACCACTCTTACTTAAATATTACTCTCTGAAAATTATAAAAAAGTAGAGAAATTAAAACAAAATTGCTATAATATATATGTCATTGAATTAGTTACATAAAAACGTAACAATTTTCATTAAAATTTCACTATAAACGTAAACGCACAAAAAACAAAGATATAAAAAAATTTCTCAGATGTCCACACGTTTTTTGCTACCTTAGCAAGACGTGACGTCACATCGTGACGTGAATTTGTATGGAGCGTTTTCGGCCGACTAGTAACAATTCCACAAACGTAACACCATATCTCTGAAACTTTTAATCGCAGAGATGCTGTTACTTCTACATTATTTCTCTGATATATTAATATCAGAGAAATATATAGTTCATTAGAACTATATATTATATATTGATTGAATAGTACAGCGTGTCTTTCAGTGGAAAGAAAATATATAGTTCATTAGAACTATATATTTCTCAAATAAAAATAAAGTAGTCAACTAGCCTATTATCGTGACTATAACACTTACATGCATGCCTGTAAGTTGGTAAGAACATGTATGTTCATTGTTTACTACTATGTTACTGATGATATCATAATGCAACACTTACAAACGAGGACTAAATATATTTTAAGAAGAGTACGGAAAATAAAACAAAATACAATATAGCAAAGTTTGATTGTCTTTATCACAGCATAAGAATTTTGTATAAAATGAAATACCTACCTATATAAAAGAATCAACATTTAAAGACAATAGATATATTATATTTTAAGAACATTATGTCGTTTGGTGTTTTTATTCTGTCTATAGTGCCATGTATCCAGTTAATAACAATAGTTTTAGGTTCTGAGAGAGTTATAGTAGTATATGATACGTCAATTATAGCTAGGTATAATTAACGTCGATAACGTATTACCCATATAATGTTATCAAGATACAAGTGCCATTTATAAATTCCCATCAGAAATCTTTACTTTGCAGAGGTCTAACGACCACCTCTAGTTAGATGTCCTTGAGATGAATTTCCGGAATAAAATAACAAGGAAAATGTACCAGATTATTATTCTATAGGTCTATTTCCTATTAATAACTGTAGGTCTACTACTATAATCTTATATTTATTTTGTATATACACGAGTATATAGCTTTATATTCATTATAAGTGAATAACGCTGTGTTGGCTAACTCCAATTGCAGATACAAAAATCCCAGTACGGTTTACAAACTATTGAATCTCCTATATATCCCATAAGCTACGTAAACAACTAAAAACAATATGAATCTGTAATAATAGGGAAAATTGCAGATATAAGTATAAATTAATGTGTATTGCGACCGCTTGACCTTCATGTATCTGCTAATATCAGCTAAAAATGGATTTAAGTTCTTGAAAGAGACATTCTAGGAACTTGCGCGTTTTCAATTATAAATATCGTATGAGGTGTTACATTTACACAAGCTACCATAACCATTGCTAAACGAATAAAATAATTAATTGGCAATGATTATAAGATAATAAAATTGTCATAAAGGACTCAATAAATTTCATAAACTCCAAGTTTGAGTTAATGGTTAAAGAGCACACTGAAACGAAAGAAGTGGTATCCGAGCTACAGTTAAAGAGTGTTATGATGAATTCGGTAATGAAAGATTGACACGCTCGTTTTAATACACTGGAGGAGCAGAATGCACGCTCATTTAACATAAAAGTGCAATGTGTGCCGGTAAAAAAACTGAGAACCTTGTAGAAATAATAAACCAGCTGGGTTTGGCGGTAAACTTTAAGGTTGTCGCGAAGGCGAAGAAACACATGTAATAGTTTAGTATGTATGGTGCTAGAGGGAAAAGGATCGACTATTCTGGCATCACTAATTATCGATTGCACTACGGGCATTCCTATCTGTGAGTTAGCTGTCACGGACAGCCCTTCTGGTTTTTGACATTGGGGTTTTTTACGCGCCAATAAATACCTTTTTGTTAGCGGTGTTTTTTCATGTGGAACCTTTGGAGTGGACCTGGTGAGTTTTGGATATATTGATTGAATAGTAAAGCGTGTCTTTCAGTGGAAAGAAACATATATCATCATTTAAAGCGACACGCAGTGGGTTTTCTTATCATTATTGAAATGCATGTTAAAGATGCATACTGCGCATAATGTTTTAATATATATAGTGGGATACTGCTTGCGAGCAGGGTCTCAATGTATAGAATCTGCCTGCGTGGCAGTCCCAGTAGTGGGTATAGAATCTGCCGGTGTGGCAGTCCCAGTTGTGGGTATAGAATCTGCCGGTGTGGCAGTCCCAGTTGTGGGTATAGAATCTGCCGGCATGGCAGTCCCAGCAGTGGGTCTAGAATCTGTCGGTGTGGCAGTCCCAGCAATGTTTTTAGAATATGCCAGTGTCGTATTATTATGAGTAGAGAGAATATGCTTATGAGCAGTATGTTAGATGGAACATAGAGGTGAGACAGCCTGCGGGCAATGTTCCTATGCGAGGCATGGGGTGGCTGAAGGGGAGGTTGGAGGCCACATGGGGGACAACCCCCAAACCTTTGGTGTCAGAATCATAGAATGTAGTATGGTCCGAGAATAGCTCAGACAGAGTGTAACTAAGTATCAGTTCAAATATTTAATAACACGTATTTAAGATTATCTTTATTTTTTAGTATTAGTACCCAGGTAATTTGGTATGACAAGGTCAGCTTAGATATTCGGGTAATTCATGAAATTGAAGTGATTCCCGACATGGCGGAGGTGCTGGGATTTGAAGTTGCATTATTATATGTTGTATTAAATTATTCAAGGTTTATTACATAATTTTATGAAAGGGTTTATCAAAACCAACAATTATTTTGGCCTTAAGATAGCATCAAAAAACTATATAAGGAAAGTTGTTTTGAAGACTTCTATGACTGGTTGTCTCAATCACCGGTGCTTAAAGCACAGCCTTGTGAAGTGCTTGATTCTATTCTAGGTTGAGAAAAAATAGTTTCATATTTTCTAGGGACTATACCCTTAGTTGATTCCAAATTCTGGGTATTGAAGGCATAGGTCACCTGATGTGTAATGTATGAAACAAGAAAATAATGTAGAATAAAATGAAATGAGAAATAAAATGAGGAATGCAAAAACAATTTAAGTTGTGGTTGACCATTATTTAAAAGGGAAATAAATTAATATTATTATTTAGTGCAACCATTGCGTCTAATACTTATGCTGTCAAATGTATGTAATAAACAATCAAAAAATATTATATGTATTTCTTAAACTGGTAATTCATATAATGTAATGATGGGTTAGTTAAAATAGTAAGTTTGTTATGGGTAACAACATGATTTTTTTTTATAATAAATTTAGTTAATTTATCAATCTTTTTGTTCTAAAACTGAATATTAAAGGATAGGTAATGTTAAAAGTATTAAAAGGAAACAGTATTTATTGGTGTTCTGGGTTTGATTCCTAACTAAAGTACCCACTACATCTTTCAGTAATTTTTTTTTCTTCTCATTCCTATAATAACAAAAATTAAAGATGGTTTATCACGTTGGCGCCATTTTGATGTAGGTAAACAAAACATAGTTACCAGTAATTTTCTTTTCTGTTTTTGCATACATTACAAAGTTTTAGTTCTATGTTATTAATTTTAGTATAGTTTTAGGGCAAGCAAAACAAAAAAATTATTATTTAATATTTTAAAATAATACTATACTATGGATTGGAATTTAAACTTTAAATTCAAATAATAAATTTATTTTGAATATTTGGAAATTAAAGTTAGTTAAGATTTTTGTTATAAACAGAGTTCAATTTGTTTTAGATAAATAAAATGGAGCATATAAGCCGAACTAGATTGAAGATCATTTACGATTCAATTAAGTCCTATATAAGCTCAGCCCAATGTGCCCTTAGTATTACAGATAGTGAAATTAATTTTAATGAGTTAGAATTGATTGGGTCAAAATTAAAGGGAGCCAATCAGAAATTCAATATTGAAATTCGGAACTATTGCAGTCAAACATCATCACCTGACGTTGATGAGGTTGGTCAGTATACGTCCACCGATATTCAAGCTGAACATCTAGTTGCAGAGATAGAATATCGAGTCAGGCGAAACATCAGAAACCAAAGTACTGTCGCTCCAAGCATACATAACATCAGTAGTAAATTACCACGGATTGAGTTAGCCAGATTTGATGGTGATGTTCTAAAATGGCACCAATTTTGGGACCAGTTTTCTTCTAATGTAGATAGTAGGAATATCAATGACGTTGACAAACTACTATACCTTCAGTCGGTTCTCGACGGTGACGCGAAGCAGACTATTGAAGGACTAGACACAACCAATAAAAATTAC